GCGCTCCCACTTCTTTTCACTGCGGGTTTGTCGTCCCTGGAATTCCTTACCGGCAGATGTAGCTATGGCACCGTCTTTGGACGCCTTTAAGCGAAGGCTGGACAACCATGCAGCGATACAAGGACTGCATCCAAATGGCCTATCTCCTTAAAATCGCATTTACCAATCAGGGTAGATAATTAAACTCGTCATTTTACTTCTTTACATTCTCTCCCGTCTTACTCTCCTGACAACTTATTAATATTATAATTACTATTATTATTATTATTATTACTATTACCGATATATATATTATTCTTCAAACTTCATGAGCTGACTGTTGTTACGTTTCCTATTTTCGTTTCTGTCTCTTAGTCTGAATAGCTTCACTAATTATATCTATTATTATTATTATTACTATTATTATTATTATTATTACTATTATTATTATTATTACTATCTCTTTTCTCTTGTCGACAATACCGAAGGACTAACTGGCGAAAGGATCAACTCCAATCACAGTAGTAACAGTCTTAACATACCTCATACTACAAACCACATATAATTAATCCCAGCACTACTCCCTTTGGAGTCAACCAAAGCTACGACAGTCGAGTGGCGGGACAAGCTACGCAGAAGTTTACCGAAGATCAAGAACCTATACCTCACAATCAAGAGGCGAGCACAAAGAAATCAAATTGGTTTATACTAGCTCGTAAAAACGATATTGGATATTGGATATAAACATATAAATTTACATGAAAATCATGCCATTTTTACAGGCACGATCAAGTATGGTATAATGTCAAATCTTAAATTGTCTACAAGTTAATAATGTTTCAACAGTTAAATATTTGATACATATATAATAACACTCATTGTCTGAACCAGGCCGTAAAGATATTGAATTGTACAGTTGTCCTCCAGGTTGGGCGGGAAAATCGACTTCGTTTCGTTTTCATCCCGTGGTTGTCGGCATACGATAACCAACCAATATTGAGGTAAGTACAACGTTTACAAGGGAATGGAAGCCTTTTTTAGAAAAATTAAAGTGCTGAGGTGAATCATTAAATTGTAATGAAATAGGTAAGTTGTAATAATTTATTGTAGTCGTAATATTAGAATTTCGAGATGACCGAATTACACGAATCCAACCAAAACACAGAGAGGGCGGAATTCAGGAATTTGTATTTAGCGGAATTCTTATGCAATTCATATAAGAAACATATCAACAGTCAACAGTAAGTATTTAAACAATACAGAGATAGAAACTGTCAATCACCACATAAGTGCAAGTATCATTAATAAATGCGTTAATAAAGGAAACTTCCTAGGCTGACAACGTTCATTTGCAATGTATACTGCTACCAATATAGGTCTTACTATCATGATGTCCACTTCTGGTTTTAATACATTTGTCCTAATGCCGGTTGTTTTTATTTTATACCTTTTCGTGCATTTAGTGCACAACCGTAACCTTCAGATAATAGGAATAGAATAAGTCATAAAGAGCTATAAAATGTTAGGTTTAATGGAATATAATGAGGATCAAGTAAAGACGTTATTGGAAAATGAATGAGATAAGACATTTTGAAGTGGTATTTAAAGATCTGACAATGGATAGCAAGTTAATTTATAAGACGCCCCGTAAATCTGTGCAGAGACCATGTGGTCGCCTCTCAACAATAGGCTGAGCGAATGGTATATATTTAAAGGTAGAAGCATGATCTGTCTAGGCGTTCATTATTATCTTTTTCAGGATAAAGATCTAAGCCCTCATAAAAATCAGAAATATCTCGAGCCGTCAAATTGTGTATTGCTGTTCCTGCAGAATGGGGCGATTCACCTTAGTGACCACCACCAAGGTCACTAGATTAATATGAAATCTATACGGAAAGTGTATCAGACTTGGTAAATCATATACATTTTTAGCTTCACTATGAATTCTCCGTTGCGAATGCATTGCTATAGGGTCGTACATATTTCACGATCCCACTCATACATCACTGAAGTGGAAAAAAATTGTACTCGTCCTTAATGAGCTTAATATAAGAAAATTTGTGAGGCAATCCCTGCATGCTATGAACTTTCTTACACTTAAGCGAGGAGCAAACTATTTGTAACATTTTACTTCATGTGAAGTCACAGTGTACCTAGACGAACAATAGTATCTTAAGAACAACTTTGTTCCAACTCGGACAACAACTTTCTTTCATACGGAGCTTGAGTTATGTCTGTGAAATGGGAATCTTATGGCAACTAATTCTTTCTTCAAATTAAAGGCCTCTTGAAAATTACGTACACAAAAATGCTATACAGTGTTCATAGTGCTAATGCTTCTGATTTAAGGGAAAAGCAGACAGTGCTGACTGCGTAAAAGCAGAAATTAATTCTCAAATTGCGCCTTTAATCCCATCAACTGCCAAAGAGGTTAAGAGAATAACATTTCGTTAAATTCGCGCGGTTTCACGGAGGCTCGAAAATAATCGCTAAGATTTTGGCACCACAGCCTTATTTAATCCAATACGTTGAGTAGATGTCGGTATCAAGCGACGTTTTTTAATACAAGTTCAGCAAATGTAACAGACTTCGAGCACATTTTGCCATCGATATTATGTACGTCTTCCGCAAAATTTCATTTAATAAGTTTGCAAAAAATATGAGTTGAAACTAAACCAACATAGCAGCGGATAACGACGCTACACTTGGCGGATGTATGCGGTAAAGACAGCCGAAAGTATAATTTTAGGTTTGGTTGATGCACACACAGTTGGAACACCGCCGATTATGCAGCAATTCAATTGTTGTTGCTATCTAGCTTCCAACCAGGTATTGATAAGGTCACACATTCCGAAACGTCGATCAGCGACATAAAACAGGCAATAAGAAATAGTCCCCGAAAATACTTCAGGCATTGTGAAACGAGAGTTCAGCTCTTTTGTAGCAATCCAGCATCAGCTGTGCAAGGTTGGTTTTACTTTAGCATCTGCGGTACCGGCGCCATCTATACAGACATCCTCGTGTTTTTGATCATTTGTTTCCGGCACGTAAGAAATATCTGCCAACATCAGATAGTAAGAATAGCTGACAGCTCACATTTCTTCCCAGATACTGTGAAGCTTCTTTAAAGCTGGTTGATAGGTATAAGAGAGTTGAAACTCCACATATCAAAATTCCAGTATTGCTGAAGTTCAGTACCGGAAGGCACTGCACCTGAGATGCCCTCATTGTTGCGGTAAAACGTTCGCTGCCGTCACCTGCTCCTGTCAAGACCATTCAGATGAAAAGACAGAGGACCGAAAGGTGTTGGAATTCCTTCATCTTTGTGTATCAACCTAATGAACCACTGCCGTTCCGGAAATATTTGATTAATTATGAAGCCAGTCACCAGTCTCCCATTCGAGGAAGTACTTAAGCAGGCTTACAACCAACACTACTTACTGACCGTATAACTTTCAGTGAACGTGCGTGCTGTTGCCCGGCATAACTGGAGTAAAAGAGAAAAAGGACCATTTGCGTAATCCAATTTATTTCAAATTACTGTAAACTGCAGCTTTGAATAATGTAGCTAAGTGTATCTAATATTACTAATTTTGTATTGCAACAGAGCAAACAACGCACAACCGATGTCAATGGTCGGCCTGCAAAATTGGGCTACCAATATCAAATGCTGAGAATTCCATACTTGTACCGAAAATAAGGTATGGAATCAAGCTATAATCAAAAGGGTAGGAAACATTCCTATAGAAGAATGGCTTTACCCTTACGATGGGCTAATACGTAGACAGTAAATATCCTTCGACTCTTCATAACTAGGTATTATTACATATTTTTCACTAACTTCATTATGAAGTGAGATTAATTACCAGTGGTAACGACACCTAATAATATTCCTAATTTCGTTTGATCAACTTGAAATCTCTTCATTCTGTGGGTAGTTTCATTCATCCAGGTTCAATTTCGGGTCTGGAAAATTACAAACGAATCCCAGTAAGTTTTCTTCCTTTTCATTTGCATGAAATTTAGAGTATCTGGGTGCTAATGAAAACAGATTTCGGTAAATCCTCTCTGAAGTAAAGTCAAGAATGCAAAAAAGCATAAAAATCTGCAAAACTAAGTAAACCTATATACAAATAGATTCATTGAAAGTTGGATGTAGCTCGTGAAAACGATATTGGATATTGGTTCCCTGTTGTTATGACTACAGTCGTACTTAAATTTTCAAATTTCTGTTGTGGATATATGAGAGACGCTATAGCCAGTTTCAAGGTCATCATCAGTTCCTGTCTCCACAGTTTATATGCTTTCATGAATTCGTTTGCCATTGAAATTTAAAGATTTTCTGAATGTTTCGCCTATTTTGTAGTGTGTAGGTCAGTTTTTGTCACTGGATGCTACTGTGAACCTTATTTTTAGGCTGATGTCCCCAGTTATCATGTTCGTAGTTAAGGATTATGGGAAATCTGCAATTATTGAGCTGATTTACGTATACTATACTAATATAGTAACGTTCTTTAGTAAATATATGTAGTTTAAAAACTCCGTAATTGCCCAATCGAAGAAAAACGGGAAAGAACGTGTTAAAAAGGGGATGAAATAGGGTAGGAATAGTAATCAACGATGACTTTTGTACAGATATTTGATATAATAATAGTGATATATTAAACGTGGTTATTCAGCTTTAAAAAGTTACTAAGTTATTCAGTACAAATGGAATTATTTCTTTACAAATGAATCGTCACACTTAAAGTCTATTTTTAAACTTAGAATTTTCATTAAATATACAATAACAATTGAGTCATTATAGACAAACCATTAACTGTTAACCAACTGTCTACATAAACACGTAGTTCATATAATTAACAACACTAGTTATCATACCGTTGACAATTATTTTTTTTATTTTTGAATACAGCTTGATTCCACACCGTACATGTATGGAATTTTCAGCGTGGATATCGGTAGCCCAGAATTCGCAGGCCGACCATAGATATCAGGTGTGCGTCGGCGAGGGCTCGAACCCCGGACCATGTGCATGGTCGGCGGGAGTCCCAACCACTGTGCCACTGACACGTTACTGACAGTTGCATTATAGATTTTACAGCATTCATTTAATGGAATTTTTACTTACAGCAGAGGCCGTCTGGCCACTCTTCTTATTATCTACAGGAACCTGTGAAAATTAAACCAGAATTCCGTCGAATGACATGTATACAATGAAACGGTTTGTAGTATAGGGACTTCAATTAACCTAAAAATGTTTACTTACTCTTCGCCGGCTCCCCCTTTTTGCTATGCGATCACGTACGTCATGGAAGTTGGCCCTAGGGCTGACTTTCAAAGTCTTCCTTAATTCGTCCTCGGGCATTGTAGCGGAAACGGACTTGCTAATAATGACGGCCTAAAGACATTTAAATAAAGCAAGCTTATACGTTATGACTCTATAGAAGCTGCATTTTGAGAGGGCTAACTTCGTTGGTGTTCCACATGCTGTCAAGCAACTTGACATTTTAGGCTTCCAAGTATAATTAAGCATTCCTCTCAACGAAGACTGCGGACTAAACGATAGATTGCCAACCATTTTCGTCATCTAGACGTAATCGAAGGTTACGAATTAATCTCTGAATTTGGGGGTTTTCAGTAACGCTTCCAGTTGGTTGAACTCTTCTTTAGTTGCCGAAGGGAATTCCAGTTGACTATTGTCAATGAAGGACTTGCTGGTTCCCTAAGACGGACAACTTGCTCGACCTGTTAATTGAAATCAACTGCGTCACCACTTTAATAAACGCCTGTACCTCTATTTTAAGAGACTGTAACTCGGTAACCACTTATATATATATATATATATATATATATATATATATATAGCTACGTACAATAGATTAAAGAGGCAGGAACTTCGTTTGGTTGTGTTTTATTTTAAGATATTTTAGTGCTGAGATTAAAATAGCCTTTATTTTAAGTAGCTTATTTAATAGAGGGTTTGAATGCGCTGCTTTCATTACCATCCATATTGGTGATTCTGGCTGTCTAAGCTAATTTTAAGTTTTTAAATGGTGATTTTCTTAAGGTATTCTGTGGCTCTATAAGCTAACAGTGTTTGTTACTCTCTTCGCTCCCCCTGTCCAACTTTCTACTTTGTAAGGCGTATAAACTGACGGAGATATTTACACTTTAGATGTCCTAATTTACAACGCCTTCCCTGTCATCATTCCAGCATCGTCAGACGTTATTTTCATTCTTTCATTAACATTGTATTTTCAGATGGTCTGCAACTGATGTGGACTTGTGAAATAAGATGATCCCATTTTAAAATAGATTTGGCTAGAAAATTATTCTTGGTATAGATAACCCTTGTTTAGGTCTTGCCGCATTCCAGAGTTTTCCCCAATTCGATCATGCTCAAAACATTCTTACCTTAAAAATGTATTATAATATGGTTCTGTTAAGAAGCATATTTCTCCTCAATTCATAGATTTATGGATAAACCATATGACGAAATGGTTGATGTACCAGATTCTGAAGATATAGCCACACCACGCCTTCAGCAGTCATTATCTGAAACTCTTGATAAATTTCAAGGTAATTTTTTCCTGACTTTTAACTTTAAACTAAAATTTATCTCTTTGGTTTAATTTTTTAAATTTTGATTATCGCTTAATTCCACAACGTACTTTTGGTACAAGCATAAAATTTTCAGCATGTGATATCGGTAGCCCAATTTTTCTGGCCGACCATTGAAATCGGGTGTGCATCGGCAGGGGATCAAACCCCGGACCATGTGTATGGTCGGCGAGAGTCCTTACCGCTGTGCCAGCGACGCACTAGGTCAGATGTCATAAAACAGTTTAAAAAGAATTATTATTACAAAGACCTTTGTGAAACATTGGTAAAAAGACATTGCACTTAGTGAATTTTAATTTTATTTCTCAGTACTGATATACTTAGTGTAAATTTCGAACCATTCAGGTTCGTCGGTGGCACAGTGGTAAGGACTCTCGCCGACCATGCACATGGTCCGAGGTTCGATCCCCTGCCGACTCACACCTGATATCTATGGTCGGCCTGGGAAATTTGGGCTACCGATATCCATGCTGAAAATTCCATACTTGTACCAAAAATACAATGTGGAATCAAGCTGTAATAAAAAAAGGTAGACAAAAATTCTAGTTATTTTAAATAAGTAATAAAGCGCTGGGTGCTTGGATGGAATCCAGTAGGAGCACCACTCACTGAGGACGTGGATGTATCTAGTCGACAGGTCTCACGTAGTACGAAACGCGCAAACTGCAATAAATGGCAGATACAATCAACCAAACAATATCTCAGAGAATGTTTAAAAACTTACACAGTGAACACTATTATCATAAAATTAAATCGGTCTATGTCAATGTAAAATTAAGAAGTAAAATAAGAGTTATAAATATATCTTTCGGCAGGAAATAAATTGATTTCAAATTATTTCCAATGAATGAAAATAGAGAAATCAGTTGGATGTAGTTTTTCAGTTGGAATAGCCTCATAGACGTTTAAAACAAGATTTTATCATTCAGTGTGTAGGGATAGATACAAGCGTTAGTTAATAGCTTTTTATTTAATTTTAAGATAAATTTAATCACCAATTCACATCAAGTAGGGAAACACTGGAAACCAGGGAACATTGAACAAATATTTCGTCATAGTTTGGGACCCTTCGATAGTAGGCAATTATGATCTTACTAGATGTTGAACCCTGACGCATTCAGTTTCTGAGATCAGCATGTTCAGCCACTGGGTAGGAAGGATTTCGCTGACCTGTGCATATTAACCTCTACCAATTCACTATATAATGTCACCATCATCAAATGTTGTCAACGAATATCAATTTTCATGATTTGATGAACCCTACCGGTCACGGTATCCCATCAAAACTCCGTTTTCAGGTTATAATGGTCAGTGGATAAGTCTTAAGTATTGCTTTGTAGGGATTTAATGTCGGTCCATTGCTAAATCCACTTGAAAAACTTACGTGATCAGTTTACTTATACATTTTACGTCATATGAACAATAATTTTTATATTTCATGTAGTTAGTAAAATAGATCATGGAATTTGAGTCACATTATTAGAATATCACCTGAAGAAAATGAAAGTTTTGTGAATGACTTGTTTTGTTTCTCATTTCTACATTACAGCTTATAGTACATGTGTTAATTTCCATTATATCAAAACGTTGAATTGTCTTTACGTGTCATTCTACTGTATTCCATGCATGCAGTGAAATGATTGTGCAGCTATTTATTCTCTAGGCATTACACTGAATGATTCCAGTGAACTGATGATCTGGTTAGCAGTTAAGTCTAGTAGTTCGGAAAGTAAAGCGCAGCAATAATAGTTCGGAGGCCACTGATTCGAACTGTGTCCCAAACCAGATTTTCATTTCACGCCCAGTCGCTGCGCGTTAAACTAATTACAGTCTGCCCACCCAAGGTTATCTCAGATAGTCATACTCTCATGTCACAAAATACTTTACAATAAACATAATTTACATTTAATTATGCATAATTTAACGACTTTAGATTAAAATAAGGGAAAAATCATTTTCAACGATTATTTGATTAGATTTCATTTCGAAATAAAATATGTGCTCACAGTTCGTTGATAATATATTAATAAGTTTATTCTGAAAAATGCGTCTATACAGAATTTAAGTAGGCCAGCGTGTTGTCCTGATTACTAAAATTGTCAGAAATGTATTGTATTCAGTACTTTATTACACCATATAAAATACTGGTTATAATTTAATATATTTACGGAGTATTCTTAACATTTTCCTTAATGTTTTATTAAGATTCTCGTGGTGATGGTAATAATAAATCATTAAGAAAAACAAACAATGAAGCAACAGGAGAACCAAATGCAGTAAGTTATTTACTCTCGATTATCTTGTAACTTCTTAACTGTAAAATGAGATGCTACTGGCTCTTATTATCAACTATTATTATTGCTTGTTTTGTTACCCTTGATGTTCAAGGATATTTTTCACTAAAGTTTCTTTATGTACAGAGACACACCAAGATGAGATCAATACAAACAGAAATATAAACTGCTTTAAATAAAGTTAAATAAAGGGAAGTTTTTCACAACTTATAGAGTTGTATATTATAAGTCAATAATTTGAAGAATGGAGTAAAAAATATTAAATTAAAAATGCTCACTTGAACACTGACATAGAACATAGAAGAAAGAAGTAAACATATGGAAGAAAAGGTATAAATTAGTAAATTGAAGGAATGGAACAAACTAAAGATCAAGTGTTTTTCGTTAACGGACTGCTTTTGAGCTGTGCTATCTAACATTGACTTCTGTGGACACTTATAATCTCAGAAACTCAAAAGTAGACTACAAGTCACAAACTCACTAAGAAGGTTGGAGCTTTATTAACTTATAAAGTGTTTTCATATGATTGCCCGTATACTACTTCTATTTTTATTCAGCTAACTCAGATCATTCGATTATTAGTGGCTAGTCATTCGTAATATTCAAATATTGTTTTACAGGGATTTGATTGGTTTCAGGATTTCATCATGAACTGATATCGGTTGGAGGACCATTGGAAAACCTGGGAGTACTAGACAGCTGTTCCGTTCTACTTTGGGAATCTTCACCAGCACGCACCCACTGAGGTTCGAATTGATGAAATCATTTATGAAAATTCAGTAAATGAATATGGGTTTTGAATGTAGTTACCCTACCAATGAGCTTAACGTGATACAGTAGTATTTATTGATCTAGGGCTTCGCCACACATGTGACATTTTAAAAGCAACATTGACCAGAAACACTGATCTCTCAAACATCATTATTCAATAGTCGCAATGCTTCGCAGTTACATACTGTAATAGTAAAATGGAACAAAATATGTCTCAAAAATGACGAAGCAAAAGCTGCCTAGAAGCCTCTATACTGGCTGACAGCAATGGTAGTTAACGAGTGTGGAGGAAATAAAAAAACCCTAGCTTTAGATAATAGTCATCACCTATTTTGGGTTATAAGTGGGTAAGACTAAAGAAAAAGGTATACTCAGATAATCTCAGAGAAGAATGAAGATTCAATCATTTCTAAAGAGAGATTGACCGAATTTTGAGGAGGATTTCAAGTGGCTTACAATCTTACTGTAGTCTAACTTCAGACTTATTAGGAGGTAGATAGTTGTCCTTCGACTCTTTTCCTTCACGTTCCCAGTGGAACATAGGGCTCCAAGCCAGTGGTTTGAAGTTTCTGTAGCAGTGTTAATTTTTACAGGATGAAGTTGCTAGCCTCATGCCCAGCCTTTCCACTTTACCAGTCTTATTACTGGCTTAGAGAGGTAAAGGAGTGCGTCAGCTGGGGATCGAACTCCTGACGATGTGCATAATCGGCGAGCGTCCTAACCGCTGTATCTTCGAGTCTGGTTAAGGTTAATAAAGCTGTGCATGCAGGGAGTCTTCTTTTCAAAAATTTAAAACAATTAGTCCCTTTTATAAATTTAGATAGCGTTATTAGATGACGGAGATTATCTGAAAAATGTGATGTATTTGCGCTACACATTTCGGACAATCTGATCACACACTTACCTGTCAAGTCGACACATATGAAAAAATTAAGGGCAATTAAATTAAACAAAGTGACAAAAAAGATTTAAGAATGATTAACACAACGTTTGGTAATCCAACCAAATAAGGAGTACCAAGGTGGGCTAAGAGTAATAATAAACTGTTTTTGAATACACAAAGGGGACTTAAGTTTACAAATGGTTATAGCCTCAGCGTATTCCAGTGAGCGTCCTCGGCTACTTTTACAGATGACGTTATAGGCTGAGTTAACATCAATCTTATGGTTCATCTCGATTAGGTGTTTAGCTATAGACGAATTGTGGAAAACCAATAGACACAGGTGTCTCACTGCCAACTTCGTCTATACCTAAACATCTAATCGAGATGAACCATAAGATTGATGTTAACTCAGCCTATAACGTCATCTGTAAAAGTAGCCGAGGACGCTCACTGGAATACGCTGAGGCTATAACCATTTGTAAACTTAAGTCCCCTTTGTGTATTCAAAAACAGTTTATTATTACTCTTAGCCCACCTTGGTACTCCTTATTTGGTTGGATTACCAAACGTTGTGTTAATCATTCTTAAATCTTTTTTTGTCACTTTGTTTAATTTAATTGCCCTTAATTTTTTCATATGTGTCGACTTGACAGGTAAGTGTGTGATCAGATTGTCCGAAATGTGTAGCGCAAATACATCCCATTTTTCAGATAATCTCCGTTATCTAATATCACTATCCAAATTAATAAAGCTGTCTCTAATTTAAAGCAAGGTAGAAAACCATGACTTGATGGTATGCATTAAAAAGTGTTTAAGGATGGGTTATTTGCCAAATTGATTTGAGTGCTAGTTACTCTAATGGAATTCGTATGGTCGTATTTGAGTAGTGTAGTTTGTTGCACATCCCAGTTTGTGAAAAAGGCAAATATTTGTGCGGTGGACAAGAAGGCATCACTCCAACTGATATAATATCTAGCGTCCTGAGGTTCTTGATCACTCAAAGACATTGCTATGTTATTGTCATTCCCTTGGGTTTAGAGTGAAACTGGTATTCAACAGTACAACTCCATTCTACCCTTTTCTCTGAAGTCGTGTTTGGCTTGCCTCACGATTACCCATAGTCTGTAGTCTCCTCCTCACATAATTTCCCCTACGTCACCTTCGGATGCTCCATTCGTTGTTTCCTATTCGGGTTCCACTCGAGAGCCTGACGCGCGATGTCATTCAACGGTCTCCTTAGCGTGTGTTCAATCCATCTCCACTTTTTCCAATGTTTGTTGAGCAATAGGTTTTTGGTTTGTTCGTTCCCAGAGTTATTTGTGGCAAAATATTTCTGGCCATTTAATTTTCAATACGAAACGAAGGCATATATTGATAGAAGTCTCCAATGGCCTGTTGGAAATGCTTATCGCGGTGAATCAGTTCTCTGACCCGTATAGAAGATGTGACTTAACATTGGTGTTGAAAATTCTAGTATTGTTCTTTATACTGAGTGCGGAAGATTTCCAAACCGACTTCAGAGTGGTTGGGATATGTCTTACGATTCCGATTCTGCTGTAGACATCTTCATCCATGACGTCTGCCTGTAGTTAAGACGATACTTCCTAGTTTAGTGAAGAAAGTGGCCTCTTTCAAATTTCTTTCGTTGATGGTGATTGGTGCTTGTTGCTGTTCAGTTATCTTCATCACCTCCATCTTCTCTATATTCACTTGAAATCCTATCTCATCTGCTTCTTCAGAAAATCTATTGGTTTTTTCTTGTAAGTCTCTGAGTTTAAGTAACATCAGAAAATCATTGGCGAAGTCCATACCTTCTAGAGTCTTATCGGTCCAACGTATTTCTGTCCTCTCACTCCCCACAGTCTTCCGCATGGTCCCGTCCAACACAATCAGGAATATCATGGGTGATTTTAAACAACCTTGTTTTAATTCTTGCTCTCAATTCAAAGCACCTAGTGAAACTATGAAAAAAAATTTGTCACATCTGAACGAGGGTGTACTGATAAAAAAATTTACGCTTTGGAGGCTTTGTAAAACAGACGTATGGTTACTGTACTTGTCACTATTTCTTCACTAGGTAGTGGTGTTAGATTCTGTTGTTTGAAAGGTAGCGTCTCAACATGTGGAATTGATGGAAATGCCGAAGAAGTATTTTGTGTTAGTCAAGGCACTCTACCCAAATTCACTCAGTTTTATGGACAGTTAGTGTCCTAAGGGATGACATGCAGTTTTTCCCCATCAAGTATATTTTGATACTAAGAACTGGCATATTTCCGCACACAGTTTGAAGTTAGGCAGCGAAGTAGTTGATTGTGTTGACCACTTAACTTTTTAGGGAAGGTGTATCAGTCCTAGTCGACTGGCCACTTAGGAATTCGCAGCACAGATGCAAAAGTCGCTTCAAGCATTTGCCTACTTGCATCATTCTTGAAGCAGATGTGGTTTTTGGCTACCAAAGGAGAGGTGCTTATACAGCATTATATTTTTATTCTGCATCATGTTCCTGAGTTATGGCCACTGAAAATACAAGATATAAAAAACTAAGAGGTGTTTATTGTTTGACAGATTCTCTAGTTGCTCGTTTTAAAATGATAAGTAGTGATAAGTTTGGATATAGACTGTTTGTTCAAGAAGAGTAATTTGACCAGAGAGAGAACACGTGTCAAATATACATATTGGGAGTTACAGGCTGTTGTAAATATCCTGATTTGGATTTGGAAGATACTAAAATTATATGGTTTGAGGGTGTTTGTGTTATGTATGAAAGTTATTCACTAGAACTCAGACTTATTAACTCCTTTCTCTCTTCCAGATTCTTAGTTATTTTATTTATTTTCATTCCTGTTACATCCATTTTTGTATATTTTAGTCACACTACTTAATTATTTTTTCATTTGCAGAATTGGCCTTTCCTCCTTTATCTTTCGTATTAAAGGAAAGTATGAAGAACTAACTGCTAGTCATATTTTCTGCTCATTTCTTTCTATAACTAATAAAGTACTATCATGGTGATTATATTACAGTGTCCAATTGATTTGGGGACTTAATTTCACAAATGGTCTAAAGAACTTCATATAGATTTGAATTTATATGCTTAATTGCTTAATTTAAAGACTAAACATGTTCTTCATGTATGACTGTTAGCAAATGACTCAAGCTATTCGATATGTCATCAAGGTATTCCAATACATTTATTCACTGAACTTAGTTCTGTTTAAATCCTCATGAATATGTATGTAACAAATGTAGAAATAAACGAGATAATTTCATTTGAAGAATTACAAAGTTTGATTAGAAGAACTTCTAAACACATGATATCAGAAATTCTTTGCCAATAATTTAGGCGTATAATTTTTAACAAATTGTAATGTAAATTTAATTGTTTTCAGATTTTAACTGTAAGCCTAAATAGTTTAGTTTGTTAAACACAAACACATTTGTTTTTGCTTAATTTTGTATTGTTTTCTTTCAGAATGTGTTTTGCTTAATTAGTGTTGACAGTATAATGTCTAAAATATAAAACATCCGTGGTTTGAGATTTAGCATAAACTTGCAGAGATTGTATCATAACTGTTGTAAAGAACATCAGGTGAATTTTATAAGTCCCGTACTCAGTATTTCAGGGCGCTAAAAATGCACATGTTTCTAGATTTGAGACCGGGATGAAAACTGTTCCGTGTTAGATACTTTTCACTGTTTATTTTTAGATAATAAACACTTCTAACTAAAGATTTATTAAGCTCACTTACTTGCATAGTATGTCCTTTTATATTTAACATTACTATCATAATAAAGATAGTGAGCTAGTGTGACAAATGTATAAATATGGCACTGGTTTATGGATATATGAGTATTGCAGGTACTTGGTCCTAATCCTGTTAATAAGAATTCTTCTTTCAGGTGTGCGTCGGTGGCACAGTGGTTAGGACTCTTGCCTACCATCCACATGGTCCGGGGTTCGATTCCCTGCCGAAGCATACCTGATATCAATGCAAAATTTGGACTACCGATATCACATGCTGAAAATTCCATAGCTGTACCAAAAATACTATGTGGAATCAAGCTAAAATAAAAAATAATAAAATAAAAAGCACATTATAGTCACTAAGTGAAGCAATAAAACACTACTGTGCACTATTCTGCACTTTATTTTATTAACAGATATTGGAAGAAATAAACCAGTTTAGCAACATAGATTATCATTTAGAGGACAGTTGGGATATATGATCCACTTCTATCACTGCTCAACCATAAGATGAACTAATTAAACGTAAAATCTATGACCTAAGCAATGAATAACTTTCAGTTTAATCTAAAAAGCATACTGGATTTTCCTCGCTTTGTGGGGCATCTGTAACTGATAACTCTCAACAGGCTGAAAATCTGGGTTGTAGGTTTCTTAATGATTAACTCCCAGCATTTAATACCTGCGCAAATATTCATGCACTGGACGTAGAAAACGTGCAATATTTATAGGGCCTAATGATTTTAAACCATCAAAATAAACTGTTATAGGCGAAGAGGGATTGGAAATTGTAGTTTGTCGTTTCAATTTTCAACTCATCAAATAATAAAGAATAATCTGGTCCCCACCAACAGTTTGATCTATCTATGTACCATGCGCATAAAAATATTCCAGAAGTTTTTATTTTACTTCTTTTTATCAATTTTTATGTCAACTTTAGAGTTAAAATTATTTTCTTTACACAAACAAAAGATTAAATAGAAAAACAACAAGTATTCGTATTATTGATTTGGGTTAACAGTGTCGACTTAGGCATTTAATAAAGCCACTTGTGCAAAATAATATAATTTCCCAAATACTATATATAATGACTGTGAGGTCAGTCATATAGGTCAGACAGCTGAGTCGATATTCACTATCACAACAAAGGAGTTTAGCCATGTCTTAAATAACTAATCCCTTTGGGTTAAACTCGGTCATTGTTTTACACACACTTGCAGTCATACAATACGGTGGAATAATGTGAAAGTATTTATAAGTAATAGAGTTAGGTGAAGAGAATGGTTAATCACTTCACTTGTGTTCATCGAGTCAACACCAAGCATGTGCAAAAGAAATGGTGCAACACCTATAGTGACTATACTAAAAATTGCTTTAAAAAGCAGGAGAGAATAAAGTTATGTAAATCAAGTTACCGAGTAATGATTATGAGCTATAGATGGTATCCAAAATGTAATCCAGTCACTAACATTGTATCACTGTATGTTATATGAAATACCTAATGCGGGACTATATTCTACTACTATGTCCAAATTCTATTCTTACATGAAGGATAGCTTTCGTGATGAATTCTAGCTGATAGTTAAGTACCACTCATTTACACAATAGCTTAACAAAATCCTTGTTAAATGATGTGAAATAAAGACCTATCTATTAATGTCAGTAAGAAGTTGGAGCATTGTGGAATAGATCAAATAAAGATCTGTTTAGAAGGTGGATCTTGTATCTCAGGTGAAGGAATGTTGGGTTAATAGTCTGAAGACAGAAGGTTTCAACATTGCTGCAGTTCATGTTTTACTTTACCACTAATCATAGTTTGTTAAGTAAATATAGTTTCAAGTATGTCATAGCTTACAGTTTTTCCGTGGTGTTAGTTTTGATCGGATCCCATCAAAAAGACGAGCATTACATCTTGAATGAAACCATTTCAGTGAAAGTTAGTTCAACTAAAGGTGACAAAGTGAACGTAATAACCTCCTCAGCCATAATAGTCGTAAAATAATGATAAAATAAATTAGACATATAAATATATGTAGTGATGGCAGTAGCATGAAGATAACCCCTTAATTTATTGACACCTACATTATCTAAGTTCATATTATATGGAGAACGATGAATATTTTCCAATGTCGTGTACATAATCCAGACTCAATGATAGTACAGTACCTAATCTACATTAAAATGCTGAAATATGAATACTCGGGTGTAATATATGATTCGATCACCTGAATGAGTCCGAGTTATCGATCACCATAGAGTAGTCTCTGGAAATAATAAGATAGTTTAGCTGTATATTAATAATAAAATTACTTTTTGCATCATTTTCAAATACTGTAAAGTTTTTGCTAAATGTTATAAACATATTCAACTAAAATCATCCACCTGAGCTACAAATCTTCACCAACATATCTATATTCGACTAACCTTGAAATTTAAGCCTTCTTTATACCCTTATTATTTTTATTTGTTTAAAATTGTATGTGGTAATATTTCTACTTACTTTTAGGCTGCACCGAAATCCGTTATTGGAATGAAATCGAATAATGCTAAAATAAGTGCTCTGGGTAGGTTAATGTATGAACTATAATTTTTTTAAAATAAATTTTAATCAACAAAATGTTATTGTCAAAACAAGAAGAACAAACTAGGCATTATTAGATGTGCAGACTTCATTTTGAGGGTTCTATTCGAATAAAGACAGCCTAAAGTATACATAGGATTAATGAAATGGGAACATAGGTCTGTTTATTCTATTTAGAAGAGTTAAGCATGAGGGTGAGATATTCTAGCATAATCAGTTATAAGTAACACGAAGAGGAAGTAGTTACTTATCACAAGGTTGGAAGAATACTAGAAAAGTTTTAGTAGTTGATTCAACAATAAAAAACACCGATGAACTAGTAACACGGGAAAAATGTTTACGCAACAAGATACAGTTAACATTTAGAAGCTATTTGAAAACAATTGAATTGAATTGTGATTCAGGAATAATACCAATTCAAGAAAAAATGAAAAGGCGAAACAAGTAGTTCTGAGAAGAAGCTCTTCTCAGCAAATTCATTTTTTTGCAGCTGTACAAAAGTATTTATACACAATCTTGTAACAAAGGAGAAGAGTTGTTATAATCGTAGTCGCTAATATTAATTAATACATAAGGGAAGTTGAACAAGAGCTGTGGAATTACGTATTAAGATGTACAATTTGATGAATTAATTGTAATCAGAGTGAAAATAGAAACGAGGGGAAAATGTGATACTACGTAAGAATTCGAAAGAAACAGAAGAGATAGAAAAGAATAAAAAGCAAAAAATCTCATGTTGCGGGAAACAATGGGTAACTCCTGTGACATTAGAAGTGGTTGAATATATAGAGCTCCTGTGTTATGCATCTGCATGACTAGCGCTTCAGAAATTCAAATGAGGCAAAGGAGTGGTGTTTTGGGTTGTTCACTCTTCATTTTATAACGTGGCTTCACAGGAACGGGTCAACTGATTTATATATATATATATATATATATATATATATATATATATATATTGCATGGAGGATTTAATCATGAGCTGACATGCAATCAAACAAAATCCCTACAAAAACCAATACTTGAAAATATATATATATACCAAATAATTACCTCTTTTTGTGTACATAGTAAACTGTGGCTACACAAAGTTCGAAATCTAACTAAAAATGATATGTTCTGAATAAACATTGATAGTTTGGTGCATTAAAATATTCTACAGTAATTTTTGTCTATTTTTAAAAGTATGCTAATGAAGGTTTGTTTGAACTGAATGACTACTGTGATAAATTCCTTTCTTTGTCATGCATGTAGTTATTATTATTATTATTATTATTATTATTATTATTACTGTAACTAGAAAGTTCTGATGATGACGACGATGATGATGAAGAGGAAGATGATGACGATGATGATGACGAGGAGGAGGAGGATGAAAATGCCAATCTTCAAGATACAATTGAAGGGTATGTTGAATGAGAAAATATTATGCATATATACAGTATACATAATATACCTGTGAGAATCTGACAAAATTATTATAATTCAAGTATTGGTTTGTAGGGATTTGGTAGATTGGTTACAGGATTTCATCATGAGCTGACGTCAGTTGGAGAACCATTGGAAAACCTGGGAGTACTGGACAGCTGTTTCGTCCTATTTTGAGACTCTTCATCAGTACGCACCCATCGGGATTCGAACCCAGGACCTTCTGGCTACAAGGCGAGCTCGCATTATAATTTTAATAATAATAGAGACTGATCTCGAGACCTGAAAATCCTGAGTTCGATTCCTGTTGGGGTCATAGTTGCCCACTGTCGAATAGTCCCGGTCCAGGGCAGGATATCTGTCCAGCGCTCCCTGGTTTTCAGTAATCTCTAACTGATGTTTGATAGTGATGAAATCTAAATTCCTAAAAAATAACCCATAATCCAAATGATGGATTTATCCTGAGACAGGTTTTATTTACAATAGAGAAACTCTTCGTATGTTAAAAAAGCATTAAAGATAATCAGGGGTATACCATTTTTGTAAATAAATATTAAGACTTTCTTCCTGAGAACTTAAAAATTAGTGAATCATGTAGCTGAAGATTGTAGAAAGTGCGAAGTGAGCTAAACCTTAGTCATACGAATATGTTCATTCTTGAAGAATTCTTTCAACTATATGACATCCACTTCCCCATTGACTACTTCTGCCTTTACCAACTATGTAACTTAAGCATAAGAATAATTAGTAAAACGTAACAAAATGAAACACCAGGTTTTATGGTATACTTATATCTATAATATATATACATTCATCAACTACCATAATGCAACAGAAGTTCAGTGGTTGAATGCTCGCCAGCTATACAAATGGTCCGGTTTCAATTCCCGGCCGACGCATTCCCTAAACTTCATGAATAATCTCTATCGATACAATATTGAAAACAAAACATGTAGTTCAGCGAAGACGACAAATTTATTCACTTAACTGTACAATCGCAATTATATATACTTATTATTGTATGGGTGTGTACATACGTAAGTTAGGATTATTGTTGTCAAGACATTTCTAAACACATCAGAACATTCTTAAACGTCACCTAGCTTTCTAGGCCATAGTGAGTTTAGAAAAGGGGAAAACTGTGGATAATGCTAGCAACTCTACCCCTTAAAAAATAACTGAAACCTTAAAAAGTAGCTTTAAGCCCTATGTTCCCTGGGAAAGCGAGTAGTTAAAAAAGAACCAACCATCATGTTGTTTATTGCGGTCGGGAATGAAAAAAATCTACCTATTATGCAGACTTTATTTTACCATCGCGAAAAATAGCGATTTGCAGAGATACATCTCTGTGCAAGATTTCAAACTGATTTCTCAATCATTTTGTTTTCATAAACATATGGGAAAGAGGAAGACCCACTTTTTCAGTACTTAATATGATTTTTAGTTTTCTAACCTACATTTCTAATACCATAATGTTCAGTTGAAATATTTAAGGAACATAAAAACATGAATAAACTAGTGTGTGCAGCTCCGATCATATAAAATATTCATTTTTATATTCATTTATATTTTTCACTTCAAAGACCGATTTCAAATTTCACTAGACATAGAAAATAAAAACACGGTGATACTCAAATCTAGATTTATGACAGAAAAATTGTTGATTACACCATCCTGTAGTTATATAGCTTTAGAACAAGAATTTCTCTTCATGAATAATAAAGGCATTACAATTTGTGGATATTATCACGAGTAGCAGTATCATTTCGAATGGTATAATGAATGGGCTTCAAGCTTTAAATTTTCAGTAGCTATGGGTTGTTTTCACTAAGTAGGATTGCCTGTATCACGCCTAACCTTCACACACTTTCGAGTTTTATACCAGCTAGTAATTTAGACAGAAGAAAATTGAATCGGCTAGAAATTGAACACTTATCAGTCTGATGGTTACGAAGCACCCTACCATGTAATCATCGATACAGATGCTTGTCACTAGAGAGTATAAACAAATTTAAAAGTTATCGTTATTTGCTCATTTAATTTCTCTTTGTTTTTTAGTGCATATAATCCAGCCGATTTTGAACATTTGGCTGTTTCATCTGAAATCAAAGAAATTTTTGAATATATTCAAAGGTATAACATTTTTATTTATAAATATGACACTTCTTACATTACATAAAGATATACACCACAGACTATTGAATTAGAAACAAAGTTGAAGCCATTTATTCCAGATTATATGCCAGCTGTTGGAGATATAGATGCATTTTTAAAAGTTAGTTAATATGTATTTTGTTGTCACAATGTATTTTTTGAATATTTAAAGAATTTCTTGCCTAAACCAGGTTACAATACAACCAATTTGTAGTAGTAGTTTCTTATTATTAATTATTTTCGGTGTTTTAAATATATTTTTCTTAATACTTCAAAAGTGTTAACTTGATTTATGTATCACCTTTATTGATAAATGGTTATCTCAAGCGTTGCCTACCAACCCACAATAGATACTTCATCTATACAGGCGTCGAATATGAATGTTTATGTTTTCATTACTCATTTACTGAGGTGGAAAAATGATCCAGGCATACTATAGTTTCTATGATGTCACCAATGACCATGAGTGTTTAATGCAAAAGAGTACCTAACGAGGATGCAACAACTGTCCAGTGCTCTCTAGTTTTCAATAATTCCCAAACTGATATCTATTCATAGCAAAATCTGTATTGAAATCAATTATAAAACGGTAAGTTCAGCGCCGGAAATACTCTCTTTTGTGGTGGACAATTAAAATAGTATTGAATATCTACAAAATAATATCTTAAAGTATCCTGTTATAAGAAAATTATGAACTTTTTAAATGAGGTCCAAAGTAATAAGTAAAATGAATCAGATAAGTAATAGCACGAAAGCCTTCACTGAATAATTGACTTTTTTTCTCTCTAAATATATTTACACGTCTTTTTCTGATATAATTGTGTATTGTGCAGTTGAGCATATATCCAAGTATAGTGTCTTAATTTCATAAAAAAAATCTTTTTTTCAAGTGTCGTATGCAGAAAATTTTAATAGACTAAACAGCTAGTAAACAAATAACTTGTCAGCTTATAACTAATTCAGTCATTTTCCTCATGAAAAAAGATTTATTATCGTTGAAGTATTAATTTCAAATCATAAATATTTAGTTTAGCTCAAACTACTTTTGCTAGTACTTACACGATCTTTTTTTCAAAAAACAGGTTCCAAGACCAGATGGTAAACCGGATCACTTAGGTTTACTAGTTTTGGATGAACCATGTGCTAATCAGTCCGATCCAACAGTACTCGATTTACAACTAAGAGCATTATCTAAACAGACGACATCAAAACAAGTAGTAAGTTTAAAATGCTCAATGGTATTTTGTTAACCTAAGAAAGTAAATATTTAATTTTTTTAAAAGTTGAATTCATGTGACACTGTTGGTTACGAAATATGGAGACTATATTGTTTTAATAACATTAATGAATGAAAAGAAGCCCAATGAATGAATGAATAATTACACTGCATATGACTCTCAGGGGAATCTTCTCTGAATGATACTTATACGGAATATGTGTGCATCAACACTTATTTAACTAACAGAAATCATTGAGCATTAACACTAATATCTAGACAAATGACATAGCTTACCTCCTCCTAGAGACCAATCAGTGTATCCATTATCTGTCTGTCTGTTTTCGACATAGAACTTTGCACAAATGTGCGGAAGTTCAAGTCGCCACATTCCGTGTAGCACGCGAAGCAAGAGAAGAAAGTACAAGAAAAGCATAATAGAAACAGTGAGCAGAGGTGTGAGACAAAGGAGTAATAAAGAAATACAAAACAGTTTCATTGAAGATCATAAGTCACAGGGAGTGGATGCATCTGCGCCACTGAGAACGATTTTGAGCCATGTCACCAATTGTTTCCAACCATAGATTTTTACCGTCCCGAGGACCCCAGCCTGGAAGTCTACACCTTCCTACGTGGCTTAGACCAACTGTTGTGGATTTCATTGACTGATGCCAAGTTTTTGTTTGACCGCCGCTAGCTTTTTTCCAGCCTGACCCTATATCCGCTAACATTGCTCGTCGAGGGAGGCGATGGCTTGGCATACGTAACACATGTCCTAACCATCTCAGTCTTTGTAGCTTCACGACTTCGTCGATTGATTTCCCCTGTTTACCTAGAACTCTACGCCTAACCTCCATGTTGCTCACCTTATTATGCCACTTTACACGGGAAATAGAACGCAGGCACCTATGATCAAAGACAGCTAGTCTTTTCATGTCTTCCACTCTCAGTGGCCAGGTCTCACAACCATAAAGGAGGACGGAGCGGACTGATGAGCAGTACACCCGCCCTTTGGTCGATAGTCGAACATCTCGTCTACGCCAGAGTCGGCGTAAACTAACAAATGCGAAACGAGCCCCTTGTATTCGTGCTGAGATTTCGTCAGAGATCAGCCCGTTGGGGCTGATGGTACTTCCCAAATAAGTGAAGCGGTCAACGTGCTCTACCACTTCACTTCCTATTTTTAAACTAGGCGTCGATGTAGTCCAGTCCTGTAACATCATCTTGCATTTGGCGGGAGCGAATCGCATGCCAAACATTCGTAGATTGCGGCTCAAGGTGTTTAGAAGACTCTGCATTTCGTCAGCGTCTTCGCCTAGAAGGACTATATCGTCTGCATATTCCAAGTCAACGAGATTATTCCCCGGTAGCAAGTCAATCCCTGAGTCGCTGAAGTCACCTAGGGTTAAGTCCATTAACACATCTATGATGAAGTTGAATAGAAAAGGAGATAATGGGCATCCTTGACGGACACCACTGGTCGTCATCAGTTCAGATGACAGCTCGCCGTAAGCCCTCACCTGGCTGTATGAGTACGAATAGAGTGCCTTAATCAGTGCAATATATTTTCTTGGAATTCCCTTTACAGCCAAGCATCTCCAGAGAACTTCCCGATCGACAGAGTCGAATGCTGCCTTTAGGTCAAGAAATATAATGACTGTTGGACGCCGGTAGGAATGCCTATGTTCTAGAATCTGTCGGAGGGTGAAGATATGATCAATACACCCTCTTCCTGGTCTAAAGCCTGCCTGGCTCTCTCGTGTTTGTGCTTCCCGAGCACCACTCAGTCTACGCATGATTATTGAGCCTAAGACTTTAGATACTATATTAGTCAAGCTAATCCCTCTGTGATTATCACAGGAAGACTTGTCTCCCTTCTTGTATATGGGGATAATCAGTGACTTACACCAACCCGATGGGACTTCTTCTGATTCCCAGACGCTGCCTAGTACCTCAGTTAATCCGGACAGTAAGCTGTCTCCACCGTACTTAAATACCTCTGGCGTCATTCCATCAGGTCCCGCTGCTTTGCCTAGTTTCAGATTGGTGACAGCTTTAGTAACCTCAGTTAGTGACGGAGGACCTGTATCTATATCCCATTCAGGGAGGTGTTGGATGCTCGGAAGGTTGAGCGTGGCTGTGGGCAAATTAAACTGCTCCTCATAATGCTCTTTCCAACGATCCAGTCGTCTATCCTGTGAGCTAATTATAGTGCCATTTTTTTCCGAGATTGTCTCACTGATGATTTGTCTTCTCCCACCCGTTTCCCTGATGAGTCCAAAGAGTTGCCTGGTGTTGCCTATCCTCAAAGCTTTCTCCATCTCTTTGGCTTTTGTCGCCCACCACTGTTCACGGTCCTTGCGGAGACTTTTCGTAAGTTTCCTCTTGTGCAGCTTTCGCTCCTCATTGAATTCGGAGCTCGCCGGAATAAGTCTTCTAGCATCTATCAGTTCGGATGAGGCGGTGGAGATCCAGTGGTTTTTACTCACCTTTGGGTTTACCTTATTCACAGCTTTTACAGCTGTATCTATGGCTGCCTGGATATTTTTCCAAGCTTCTTCAGGGTGAGCACAGCTGTCGAACACAGATATGTGTTTAGCTAGTTCTTCCTGAAATACGGATTTAGTTTCCTGATCGAGCTGGGGACGTGATGGTTTTACCGCCAGCTGTTTCCTACGTCCGTTCAGTCGTAAGCACACCCGAGCGCGGACCAGTGCATGGTCGGTATCTACGCACGTGTTCCAGAAGGAGCGACAATCTCCTACCGACCCACGCCAACGATAGCTTATTGCTATGTGGTCTATTTGTGTCCAGCGTTGGTTTGATGAAGGGGGTCTCCAAGTCAAACAGTGTCTCTCCTTGTGTTTAAAGTTAGTGCTTACAAGAAACAAATGATTATCAGAGCAGAACTGTAGGAGACGGTCACCGTTGTCGGTTCGCTGGCACGGAGCTCCATAGGTGCCACCGACATCCTTCTCAGATTGACACAATTTCCCTACTTGAGCGTTAAAGTCACCAGCTAGAACGACTATGTCTGAGCGTTTAGCCTTTCCCACCAAACTAGACAGCTTTTGGTAGAACTCATCCTTCGTTTCATCTGAACTGCAGTCAGTGGGGGCGTAGGCGGAGATTACGAAAAGGCATCGGCGAGTAGTGCAGTCCTTCCTCCTTCTTACTGATCCGTTCAGGCGGACAGCACACATTCGGCTATCTACCGGGATCCAGTCAAGCAATGTCTTTTCTGCCCTAGTACTCAAAGCTATCCCTACGCCAGCTAATCCTCGTGAACTAGCTGTGGCATCTCCTGACACCCTCAAGGTGAATTTTGCAGATTCAACCTGTTGGCCAGGTGGGGTTAGGTGAATAACCACACTTGGGTCTTGTATGCGTGTTTCTGAAACACAGCATACATCAATGGCTCGTGATGCCAGGGTCTTGGCTAGTGATGCTTGTTGTCCTATTTGGCAAAGTATCCATTATAGGGTTGCAGAAGGTCAGTCGTAAACCCGAACAAATAATTAATGTCTATAAATGCAGGGCTAAGAATCTCCGACGAGCATTGCTTAAATCCTTCGAGGTTGCATATCCACTTTGCTGATGAGTACTAATAAGCATGAAATTCAGGTCAAGGGCTTCCTGCCGATTGTTTCCAATCACCTAACTTTGTGATCACAGTGCAACCCTGTCTGCCAGAATTCAATCAGCTTCAAGAGTAAGGAATGGACACAACATTGGTTACCTTCCAATTGCAAATAGATACGCCATGAAAAGTATTATAATATTTGTCTCCACCTTACACCATACTAGTCTGTTTTTATTGTAAAAGAAATGAAATATCTTATAATATCTGGCGATCAATATTTGGAAAAGACTTATCTCAGCATTTTGAAAGAATTAATCCCAAAAATACTCAGATTTTATGTGCTTAACTAGTATGCATCAAATACCACGTCATATCTGCACCATTATAATATTGATTATGGTGTCAATTGTTTACAAGAAATGCTTGGGTAAACTGTAGGGATGATCTATTTCACTAATAATTTAATTTTTGGTAGACAGAAAACAGATGAGATCAAGAGGTATTCAGTGCGATTATAACAGACTAAGATCCCAGCTTATCCAAATTGACAACGATATTATGAAAAACTTTAGTTGAGAGTGAAAATTATTCTACACTGATAGACTAAGATGAATATTCTTGTGATTGAATAAATATTTAGGCACATTTTATTCTATCATTGGTTTATATATGAGGTTAATTAACGCTGACTGTAAAATGAACTTTTTCCTATCCTTTGCTAGTACAATTATTCTTATTATTAATTTTTAAATCTGTATTTCTTATAGACAGTAAGAAGTATTGAAAATGCAGAACAACAGAAAAAGGCTATAGATAACTGGATTAAAAATATTACAGACTTGTATAGAGCTAAACCACCACCAACTGTACATTATGTTAGGTAAGTTGGATAAATAAATTTTATTAATGCTATTTTTTTGGCATTATTATCTACCTTTTCATGAATAATGATGAAACTACAAAATACGATATAAATATCATGATTATTAATTAGCCTTTTGAAATATACACACTACATAATGCGACATTATGGTATTTACTGCATCGGTGATTTAGTGGTCGAATGCTCTCCGAACACAGGATGTCTGGGTTTGATAAACCTTGCCTAACTGATATTAACCTTAGAAAAGAGATAAGGTTTGGATAAAAAAAGAACGCGATTGCTACTGAAACTTCTATGTTCCACTCAGAACTCATGAAATGGAAAATGTGTTGCTACTACCACCACTCGTAGTAGTGATGATATTCAACAATGTCTCTAGAATTCCTAAATTATATCAGTGATTTATTTCATAAATAGTATGCAGCAGTTAAAACGTTGGCTAAGGAAACTCTCATACTTATAAATGGTCTAGTCAATTTATTGGTTTATTTTAAAGTAGCTTAAATAATGGAAATTAATTAAGCTTTTCTCATATTTCAAGTTAGAACACGAAAGCCAGGGAATACTGAATAAGTATTTCGCTTGAGACTTTTCAGCAGTTTATTTATGAAACAGAGTTGCAGATAATACTCAGATTGTTGTCAGTTTAGTTGTTTAGAAGAACTTCAAGCAGAAGATGAGAACTATCACTACGATATCAAGAATTCGAGCATCATTTATTTCTCGTCATGTTGAATGAAACTGCTAAAAGTTATAAACATATTGTCTGAAGTGGTTAGTTTTGTGAAACAGCATTACACTTCACTATGTACCTACGAAATTATTAATCTACAAGCCCAATATCAATCATATACACTTTCCTAACGCCTTAATATTTTGTGGAATACCTTATTCAATCAGTTTGTTATTCACAATTATTGATTAAGTGTATGCACAACATGGGACTATATATTTCGGGAACATTCGCTGAAGCTCAAAACATTTCCGACAAAAATAAGGAGAGAATCTGAATTTTAACTTCTTACCAAATTTTAGGCTTTTTGGAACTTCGTAAGATTGGTTGAAGGATTTCATCATGAGCTGACATAGATTAGAGAACCATTGGAAAACCTGAAAGGAGTACTGGACAGCTGTTCCATCAGCATAGCTTGAGACTCATCATCAGTACGCACCCACCACCGGGTTCGAACCCAGGACCTTCTGGTTACAAGGGTAGCGCGCTCGTATACCATTAGGCCACTGAGACCCGACCCAATGGCCCATGAATTCCAACTTCTGCGAATTCTCGACATAGCGCTACCCTTAGCCAATGTCTTCGGCGAGTATTTGTCCTCACACCCGACCTGCTGTACCCTACTGGCCACGGCTTCCCACTAGAACCCCAGGTAACCACCTGGAAAGGGCCAGTCGCTAGTGAGCATCAGATCGGGTCTCAGTGGCTTGATGGTCTACGAGCTCGTTAGCCTTGTAACCACGAGGTCCCGGGTTCGAACCCGGTGGCGGGTGCGTACTGATGATGAGTCTCAAGCTATGCTGACGGAACAGCTGTCCAGTACTCGCTGCAGGTTTTCCAATGGTTCTCTAATCTATGTCAGCTCATGATGAAATCCTCCAACCAATCAGAGAAAATCCCTACAAACCAATACTTGAAAACCGCGTAAGAATGAATTTTTTATCACATGGTTGACTTTCTACTTCAAATTTGCAAATTACACAGTTCAAGGTGAAATTCCAGCACAACATGTTACCTGGCCAACTTTGGTTACCAAAGGAAACTGTGGTGAAATTTCTTCGCAAACTGTGTAAATTGCAAATTCGATTCAATGTATTACCAGTTTGTTTATGTCTATGATCAAGATCTATCAAACATTGTAACATAAACCAATCCTGTTATCTATGCAAAAGCATGCCACTTCGGTAAGTATATATTGTTTGGCTGAGGTCCTCCCGATGCTTAGAACCAATGGTTAGTAGCTGTTGGGAATGCGGGTGAAACATATTTTTCGTGGAGTATCATACAAGTTCTGAAAATGTTCACTAATCTTTATCTATCTATCCTCACTATTGCATGTCCTCTTTTCTGTACTTCTATATATGATTTCTAAATGTGCCGTAATTTAAGGTACTACAGTTTTTTCCTATGTCCTATCCTAATAGGTCATTCAATCGCATAGAGTAGATATGTCATTTTGAATTTATTATCGAAGTGTGAATACCAACTTTATAAATTTAAAAAAGATTTCCCTTTGATTTACTTACTGAACCTTTTATAGAAATATGCCTGAAATATCACAATTAATGGCTGAATGGCCAACAACATTTGAAGAGAGTATGCGAAATCTTCAAATACCATCCTCACAGTTGGATTGTAGTCTTAAAGATTATGTGGATATTATATGTGGTAAGTCCATTCAGTTTTGTTTTGTTTTTTTAATTGAAAGTAAATTTCTTTTGTGAAAGTATCACGACATACGAATTTTGATGTTAAGTTTTCACCGGAAGTTGAAAGTCACAAGTCAGGGGATTACTACCTAGTAGCTGGGTGATAACGTACTCATCTCACAACACCACACTTCTAGGTAGAATCTGTTAGAGTTTCTCAAGTGCATGAAAATTTTTATGCATTATTCCTAATTTTTCCATGGAACTAAACCAGTGACAATGCGTAATAAGAACTACACTAGAATCATTTCCCCATTTTGGAATAAAAAGATTCGAACTATTTCAAATTCAAATTCGTAGATAAAATTATTCGTCAATTGGTACTAAAGGGCGTTACCTTTATTAAATTTCAACGCAATAGACATCGAATTCACACACATTCAAATGGAGTCTATTAAACAGTATGAGACTTATAACTGTTCCTATTCGTTCTCTTTTACCTTCTATTTATGCTCAGTATGATGATATCAACTACAGAAGAGTATCACTTTAAATAAAGACTGAAATATTCTGTCGTGACTACATAACTTCATTCTAAACACGTCATCATAAATGCCTGAGTTCCAAAAGTATAGTAATTTCAATAATTTGAATCCTAAACACAAATTATTTGTATATTATTTGACATAATGCACTTCATACACACAAACTCATAAAACTGTAGAGCTTGAATTGTTAGAGAGAAGGATTGTCTGTAAACTATTTGAAAACGTTCCTTTTCCGTAGTAAATTTAAAACAAGCAACAACTGTGAGAAAATTAGTATTCAATAAATTCATAAACTTCGGTAGAACTCATCGGCTGAATACTATACAAATATTGTTATTTATACAAATCATAATTTTATTAATTCTGCCACAATAGCACCAGTTTATATGTTAATATGCTTTCTGATAAGGATTATCCACTTAGTGATGAGATCAACAGACTGTCACTCACAAAACGTATTGAGATCGTCTGTTTGTTCAAACTGATACTTATTTCTTGTCACAATGTTTCTGTGTCTGTAATTGTATAAATAACAAATGTTTGTGGAGTAATCAGTTGATGAGTCCTTCTACTGAAACTTATGAATTTATTAAAGAATGCTTTCTTCACAGTTGTTGTAAACTATTTACATTGACTCTACTGAGTCTGCTAATAGTGAATTATATGCAGATAACACCATATTCATATCGGTAGTACGTCATCCCTAAATCATTATTATTAACATCTATTTTATGTGTATTTCTTTTATTTGAAAAAGCTATTTTAGATATCCCAGTGTATAATAATCGAATACATTCATTACACTTATTATTCTCTCTATATCTGGAATTTAAAAATTCACAAGTGAGTATAACTAAAATGTTTGTCTGTACGTATACTTAAATTAAATATTTATACAAACGAAATTGAATAAAAGTTTGAAGCATGTCATTTATCAATTAAGTTGAATAATATTTATGCGTGATTAAAAAAACCTTAGGTAGATGAATTGGTGAATAACTGGCACCATCGTTGTCATGTACTTCTTTCGGAATGTAAAGCCTTTTGTGCCATTAGGTATTACCTTGTAAATAAGCTTAAAAGAAAATTCTGATGTCGCTTCATTCACCAGAAGTTCGATAACTGAGTTACTGAATGACTTGCGTTGCCCTCGTGATAATCTTACTGCATGGTGTTGTAAGAGGTATTAGGGAAGTGTCATTTTTGTTTTGCCTAAATAATTAGTCGCAAAGAAGAAAGTTGCTTCCTAAACCCACAAACTGAAGTGACCCCAAGCGTCAACTTGTATTTCATACATTCAGTAATCATTTGCCGACTGAAAATGATCTCGAGGCAGCAGAAAAGTGTTTTTCCTAAACTTTAATATCTGTCACAGTATTACCATTAAACTCAAAGTTTTATAGACAACAGTTTTTCCAAGACTGTAAGGATTATTTTCTCGAATATCTATTTTGTATAAGTTTATGTTTGGAGTTAATTAAGTGAAGTGGAACTCATCTAAGATATCTGAGTTATTTTACACTAAAATGATGAATTTTGAGTCCCTATAAACTCTTTTTATGAGATTATAGGGTATCCAATCAGGACAGGTTGTACTTCCGTTTATATTGATGGCCAGTAATTTTAAATAATTTTATTAAGTCTTTTTTCTGTCACTAGCAGTACCATACGTTACACCATTAATATATTACTAAAAAGGCAACATACACTTTCTAACTTGAGTAGTATTTTAAGGAACTTCAACAGCCTTAAACATGATTTTCTTTTGTACAGTCTTAGTGTTAGGCATGCAAGTTTGTCTACTTCTAATGTACAATATATTTCACCTATATCAACCATATAATTCATTATAAAGTATTTATTTGCTTATAAGTACTTTTTCAATTTTTCCTTTATTTAACAGCATTTCCGTCAAATGGATTCTGTTATGACATGAGATTATTGATTGAAGTAATACCACAAGACTTATTCTTCATTCTGTGAATATTAATAAATTTTCCTACACATCTGCTTTTGTTTAATATTTATAATTGATGTTGAGTTGAAGGGACTTCATTGTGCTCTATTAACTGAATTCAGCTTAGTTAAAACCATAATGTACTGAACCTGTTTCGTTTCTCTCTGCACACCCACGGTCATAATAGTGTTTCCGATTAAAAAGCAAGAACAATAGAACTTAGTTACTGTTATTGTTTCCAGTTACTATGAATTAGAACTTCTGTGCTTCTTGACTTTTAACGGTTAAGTAACTCAGGTTGATTTCTGTCCAAATTTATCTTGAAGTCATGCAAATCCCAAAAACCTCAGACTGGATACGAGTGGTGTGCTTATTTCATTCAGGCTGTGTAAATTATTCATTGGAACTTCACAAATAATTTATGTATTGACTAGAGTAGTCAAAAACAATAAGTTAGACAGGTCAAATATGCATCTTTCTCGGTGCATACATATCTTTCTATTGTGTATGACTTCAAAAAGCAATTAATAAACGAAGAGATGGTGATAGCAGTGCAATTTCACTTTTCAAACTTTGCTAAGGAAAATGTAATCTTGATAAAATAAGATAATAGCTTTATTCCAAAACAGTACTTGTGATACAGAATGGAATTCTCAGCATTTTACTACAATATTGCATCCACTTAGTACATTAACAATAAATAAAGTTCTACATAGATTAAAGTTATCTCAGTCAGTTTTGACATTAACATATTAGCATGTCGGTAGCAAAGCCAAAATTGAACAAGTGTTTGAAGGTGTTAGAAAAGTAGATACTACTAGCATATTTACTGGCGTAAGCGATAGCAAAATGGTCGAGATATACAGAGTGTGAAAGAACGAACAAGAATGTTTTAAGTAGAGTTTGCAAGGAAGAGAGAAACAAAACAGCACATAACAAAAATAAATACAGAAAAAAAGGAGAGAGAAAACGTTGTACCTGTAAATGATGTGAGTTGGAAAGACGAGATCCATTTGTTCTACTGACTATTTAATAAGTTAAAGGTTTCACGCCTAATGCTTTCTTTATCGCACAGAACACGAGCTAAGTAGGGTATGGATGAGTTTTTGTACTTACTAGTGCGGGCATATAGTTTCCTATATAGGCTTCTGGTTTTCCCTGAAGAGATACATGGGGAGAGTTGTGAATGTAGAGGGTGTTGTGAGTCAGATAAAATGGATTTCGCCCATTTTTCACATGAGTCCATGTGCCTGTCCACCAGAATATTAACAAGCTGGCTAAGTGGCACACTGCTTACCCTGCTGACAACCTTTAACATCCTACGTAATAAGGTATAGTCTTTCTTCAATAGCCCAGGAAAGACTAAGGGGGAACAATAGAGAATAATAGGCAGAATACGGGAGTTAACAAATTGTAGGAGTAAGGGTTGGGTTACACCAGAATGTCTTAACTTCTTGATGTAGAAGGTAAGACGGAATATTTTCTTGGAAATCGTCAAGATATGAGACGACCAGGAAAGATCAGAAGATAGAGTGACGCCTAGGTATTTAATTTCCGACTTGGTTTCTATTTCAGTGCCATCTATGTTGCACACCTCGTGAGTGCTAACCAGTTTGTTTAGGTCAGATTTGTGCCTAAAGGTGAAATTAACTGTTTGGCATTTGGAGGGGTTTAAGGTGAGACCGTTTTCCTTGGACCATTGGCTGATTTCTGATAAGAAGCCATTTAGTTTAGAGCAGTCACTTTGACATTTGACAGGTAAAGATACAGTTAGGTCATCAGCATATTTGACAAAGTTAATGTCATTTGAAGACGGTAGGTCATGTAGAAAGAAAGAAAAGAGAAGTGGGGAGAGTACAGCACCTTGGGGGACACCAGCTTCAGTGAGCACAGCAGAGGAGGATTCGCCTTTGTATACGGTGTACTGCATTCTGTTTGAAAAGTAGGAATGCAACCAGTTAGTGACCCAGGACTCGGTTTGTGTCATGGAGAGCTTATTTAGCAAGAGACATCTAGGTACAGAGTCGAAAGCAGAAGTGAAGTCAAGAAACGTGCAGCGGACATATTTGGCACCTTTGTCTAATGATGAGACAATACTGTTGTGTAAGACGGCTGCAGCGTCTAAAGTACTCCTACCCTGTCTGTAGGCAAATTGTTTGGGGTCTTCGAAGCTTTTAAGGGAGGGTTCGAGTTTAAGAAGTACTAGTTTTTCCATGAGCTTTAGAAACGGGGAAGTGATGGCAATGGGTCTGAACTTTACGTTCTTGCTATTGCCAGGTTTAGGGACAGGGACTATTTTAATGTCTTTCCATGGAACAGGTACAACGTTTTCGGAGAAAGAAGCATTTAGGATATTAGTTAGAGGAGAACATAAAGCATCTGCACATTGTTTTAGAACATATGCAGGAATACCCAGGGCCAAGACTATGTGAGGGCTTAAGAGTTTTAAGACATTTTAAAACATCGAGAGTGTTAAAGTCCTGGAAGTTATCAGCTACAAGATTAGTAACGTTAGAAGTGGTTATAGTAGAAGGAGAGCGTATAAAAGACAGATTAAGAGCATTAACATCACAAGAGGGAAAAACATTACATCGCTTACTATTGCCAGTAATTTCATTGAAAAATTTCCACATGCTGATAGGAGATTTGCATGATAAAAGTGTTTGGTTATAGATAGCATTAAGATTTTTGATTTCAGATTTGATTTGAGCATTAATCTTTTTAAGTCCTAACTTGTCTTTGCATTTATATAACATTTCTTTTTGCCTGCGAAGTTGTTTGAGATGGGGAGACGAGAAGCGGTCGAGGCGTTTGAACAGTGTTTGTTTGGGACAGCATATGTCGAGGCAGAACTTAAGATAATCCATTATATTGGTGATTGAGTCATCTAATGTACTTTCATAGAATAAATCCCAGTTAGTATTTTTTAACATGCATCTTAGATTGAGTAAGTTGTCAGATGTGTAGCATCTTTGTTGTGCTTTCATAGACAGGTGTGAGAAGATTTTAATATGTTTTGCTGTATATTTTTGGTAAAACGCGGACAATGCAGTGATCTGAGTTTAGTATCGGTGAACGTCTACGTGTTTCATATACTCCTTCGTCATTAGTAAAAACTAGATCGAGTGTTTTGTCAAGTCGAGTGGGAAATTTGACTATGTTTGTGTGACCAAGAGCTTCAAGAAAGGAGCAATCTGAGGTGTTGAAGTCCCCAGTAATAACGGATAGAGAGTTGTCGAAGTTGGCAGCAGCAAACATGGTGAATTCATCAGCAAAATTAGATAGATCAGATGGAGAGCAACTAGGAGAAATGTACATGTTTGTAATATAGATTTGTTTATATTTGGGGAGATGTTTGGGGCGACATTTGACAGTAATACAGTCAATGAAGTCATTTGAGAAGGTGAAGCAGACATTATTTGAGACAGACCATTTGGAGTGAATAAAAGTTGCAACGCCACCACCATTTTTCTTATTACAACATTGACGGTCTTGACGAAATAAAATAAAGTCCTTTAGTGAGATAAGATTGTCATCATACAGTTCATGCAACCACGTTTCTTGTAATGTGATTATGGCAGTATTATGATAAGTATCAGTGGACATCAAGGATTGTAGGTACATTATCTTGTTTGGCAGAGAGCGGCAGTTTGTGTTCATTATGACGGGGACCGTAGTTAAGTGTATTGGTGTACGTTTGAGAGCTCTCTGCCAACCACTACGATGTTTCCTTCTTGATTTCTTTGGAATATGAAAGTCATTTGGTCGTAAATGATTAATAAAGTTACGAGAGTAAATGATTCTGTTAGAATCCATATTTAGGTGATGAATAAATGTTGATAAACAGTAGACGGGATGCAAAATGTAGATATTATAGTAGCTGGCCCAAAGATTCGAACAGGCCGCGAAGTGGTAAAGCTGTTATTATGTCTGTAATCCTACTTCGAATATCCATCCTCATTATCATGACAATAGATTAATGTGACAATAATGTCAACATCAAACCAAATTCTTTCCTCTCAAAATATAGAAAATAATCAAGAAATTCGTAAAGTTTTAGTAGCATTATTTGCTTTCTTGCATTTCAAAACTAACAAATACCATTATTGTAATACTATTCTCGTCTTCTTTAGTTCCTACACAAACATAAGGCTTCAGCCCCACGTCTGGATTGCCTTCATTTTTCCGCCAACGTTTTCACCTGGCTCCACGTCTACCCGCATGCTTTCATCGCCTCTTTGCATGACCCTCCTCCATGTCACCCTCGCACTGACGACCAATTCCCTGCTCCTTGTTCGGGTTCTACTAGGGAGCTTGGGCTGTGATGTCACCTGATGGTCTTCTCAGAGTATGGCCACTCCACCCCTATTTCTTCCTGAATGTTTGTTGCACGATTGGCTCCTGCTGGGTTGGTTCACTCCCAGATATCACTATCGCTGACCTTTTCTAGCTGGCCACCTGATCTTGAGTATTGAACGAAGACAACTATTGATGGTCTGTAGTTTGTTCGAAGTGCCTTTCGTGACGTGCCAAGTCTCTGATCCCTATATTAGCACTGACTTCACAAGTACCAGCCTCTAAACATTTCAGACAATTTTGAGCAAGTGACTTGAGGAAGGCAGGTCAATAATTGATTACGTAGTTACTCAAAATATAGCAAAGATTGAAGAGAAAATATATACTCATGAAGTAGTGGGACTGTAATCTAGTGGAACAACTAACTAATTGCTATTAGTGTTTACTTGGATAATATGGAATCTAGTTGATTTCAATTAGAACTTTCATAATTTACTTCAAGCATTTCAACAGTAATCTAAACGCTAATGCAGATCATTGCAGTAAACTTAAAGAACCTTGAACATGAGCGAAAATAAGTCAATTTTCGATTGAAACCGTTTTTTTAAAGCAGATCAGATCTACAAAAGTATTGAACTAAGTATTGCAAAGAAATAATACGTTAATCACACTAAATAGGCAAAATGTCTTTTAAATATGGTATTCGTCTTTATTCAGTAAATTTTGCAAGATGAATACATATTTTAATCATATATATTTCATTGTGCACAAAAAGAATTACACAGTATTAAACGTTGATAAATAAATTAGACTGTTAAAAATAATAAAACGCCTATAAAAAATTGTTTAAAAATAACAATAAATCAAAGTGTCAGAGAGAAAGAATTAAGAGGAAATGGTCGATACATTGCCAAATGACGTTAAATATACACTCAAGGTTAGAGATCGTGTTTATTTAAAAAATACCTTAGTGTTATTATTACAAATAGCACTATTATACAATCACAAAGTAAACATTATTGTGAATCACAGTAAGATACAGTAAAGTGAGAATAATGCAAAAGAAAAGGAAACACCAACACAAATAAGACAACCATATATTACAGGGCATATTTTTGTCTAATCAACTAACTCCTGTAAAGCATAATCTAAAAACAATTCAGACAATTGAATAGCCAATCCAGAGATACCTGATACATTTTCCAAATTAGTTAAAATAGCTACACTAATTGGTGGAATATCTGCTGATTTCAGTCTAATATCTGTAGGATACTTTCGATCAATATTTTTGGCATTATCATTTTCAATAGATGAATTAATCTTTGTACTGTTCAGGTGTTTTACTTCATCTTTTAGAAGAGGTACACTGATCAGTAGAACAGTCGTACCACCTACTGCACCCCCAGTGTGCAGTGCAAATAATCGATCTGGATAGTCGGTTTTCACAGTGGCTGGATCACCTGAACGTCTGAAAGGAAACCAAATATACAATTTTGTATTGTGTCACAACACAATAAATTTTGACGAAAAATCATAAACACTACTGTTACGATGTTAAGGTAGGAGACTAAAGGCTCGGTAATGGAATGCTTATTTGGAATTTGGTATCGCTATATAGCGAAATTAAGTACACTTTATCTTCAAATCAGCATTTGCACAGGTCTTTCGTGTTATGCTACTTCTGTCCCTCCTATTGTGTTTCTCTGTGTTCCTTTCACATCTTCCGTATTTTTCAGCAATGCTGAATCATTTTCCTTCTCTGACGTCAAATCTATCTGCCTACTATTTATTGTTTTTATGCCGACGAACGTCTCCCTATATACTACTGGTAAATGCTGTCAGTGGCACACGCCACAATGAGACATTTTAACACTAAACATGTTAAATAATAATTACCAAATCGCCTAATTTGGCTACGCATGTGAGGGTTATATAACAGTGAGAAATTACCTTTCATATTGGAAATGTACATAATAAATTAACTGAGTAGCTAGTATTTATCCGCTGGCAGTTTATGTCTATTAAATAATTTCTACCCATGCTTCTTAAACATTTTGAATCTGAATATGTTTTTCGAATGAGAAGTTATTTTTTTGGGTCAGCTCGGTGAACAACAAACACCTATCACTATAATTCTAGTTATGTAAGAGACACAAGCTTAGATTTGATAAAGATAATGTAAACATTTTGTAGTGATAAATTTGCCTAACTACATAAGACATTGTTTTTATTCTTAACCATAAGTTTATCTTATTATTCTAAAATTATAAAGATAAATTACATACAGCCCATAAATTTACCTGGCTAAAAACCAACCTAATCCAGGCAGTGTTTTTTGATCTGGAGGTACACATGACACTTCCCATAACTGGCTTAGAGTAGACCGTTTTACAATACCATAGGAGTCAAGCCATCCCATATAAATGAATGCTAAATGGTCAGCAAAACGAACTAAATCAATGGCTGTAGAAAGGATTCCTCCACCAGCCCATTTGTACGAATTGTCAATCGTTGGAGTATTTGTGAGCACGCCTTTCTCTGAACGACGGTATTGACTAAGAAGAAACAATGTTTATATTAGAAATTCAAACATTTCACAGAATACAAAAACATATAGATGATCTGATTCACAGTTGTTCGTTCAAAAAACACTTCATAAGGATAAGGATATTTTAATATTCCTAGGAGATGCCAGATTCCCCAAGTCAGTATCAAATCTCTCATTCAGTGGTAATAATAACTGACAGTGACTAGAATTCTTAACAGTTACCTATCAACAATTCGACAATAGAAGCAATTTAATTGAATCGCAATCATTTATATTGAGAACTGTGATTATGATTGAATCCAACACATAAAACAAGTCCACGTACAAATATTTGTCAGCAAATTACAACACTTTTCGTTCCAGAGTAATGACGTTATGCATAAAAGTAGAGATAAATTAGTTTTACAAAGAAAAGGCACAAACATATCAGAAAGTTCGACTGACGCAATAACAGAAAGCTTGGGCAAGATAATCACTCTGATATGAGATGATTGTAGAACCGAATACTCTGAATCTTTTGTCAGTTATCGCTGCTTTTACTATTCGTACAATCACAATATTCTGTGTGTCCGACAAAAAAATGAGCTACAGGACATCAGTTGCTGACTGTAAGAGGAATTAATCGTTGAAAATTGAGTATAAATATTCCTTCGGCATCCTACCTAATTATTGTTTTGACAATCATACTTCTAGTATTGGTTTATAGGGATTTGATTGATTGGTTACAGGATTTCATCATGAGCCATTGGATTGGGTTCCAGTGGCTCAATGGTCTACGAGCTCGCCTTGTAACCAAAAGGTCCTGGGTTCGAATCCCGGTGGGTGCGTACTGATGAAGATTCCCAAACTAGGACGAAACAGCTGTCTGGTACTCCCAGGTTTTCCAGTGGTTCTCTAACTGACGTCAGCTCATGATTAAATCCTCCATGCAATTATACTTCTGTTTTACTAGAACTCAAAAGATGAATCCCGTCTTTGACTTAATGCTGGAAGATGTGACCTGAACCATTGGTGTAGTCCTTTAGATTAATAGAACATATGTTTCACATGCCTCCTTATTGTCAATCTTTACAGGTTATTTTGAAGGAAGTATGATTACGTTAGAAGATATGAATAATCAAGTCAAGACATGCCACCCACCCTTGCAATAACTGACTATTGTCCGAAAACATAATTATGATCACCGGGACCTACGGTCACAAAAATTTGGTGATATTGATCAGAGTTGACAGTACTATAGTTGACACATTCAAAATTTGATTTCACTTTTATTCTATTTAATTTTTTTACTTGCCTTAAGGCCTTTTAAAACCGATTGTTTTTTTCCTTCGTGTCTCATTCCTAACCTGCTGCACAAATATAAAGTGTGACAGGTTAGACCCAATAGCGCTAGGTCTTATGTCGATCATGTTTAGCAGCCTTTCTTGTTAAGATAAAAAAGTACACACGCATAAGTATAAACAGAATATATATATGACATTGGTTGGTAGTCGTTCTAAAATTACGAATTGGTAGAAGTTAGACTTCATGAGCCATTGAATCGGGTCCCAGTGGCTGTATGCTATACAAGCTTGCCTAGTAACCGGTAGGTCCTGGGTTTGAACCTCCGGTGGGTGCATATTACAGATGATTCCCAAACTATGATGAAACAGCCAGCCGTCCAGCACCCCTTGGTTTTCAAAAGTTCTCTAACTGATATCAATCCGTGGCCAAACTCAAAATATTTATATATGCTATTCGCCAACCTAAAATACCTACACCTCAGAGAAATAAAAATCATTCACTCATGTTTCACACATAACACAGTTATTTGTAAGAATTAATGACATTGTGAAATAGTCGGAGGAGAACAGTAAACAATGATCATGGATCAAAATTATGTAACAAAATCACACTGAGTCAAATGGATAGGTCTCCAGTGTTTTTCAATGCATTAATATTCAATTGAAATTTAACATTATGCAAAATTTAAGGGCTAATGGTGAATTACTTTTGATCACATAAAAATTTTGAAAACAAACAACTAATACTACCCACAATAATCAAATAACTCACCCAGCTCTTGAAGATGTTATTTCTTCAGGATATTCTAAACTTGTATTGCTCAAACTAAGATACTGAAAAAGCCTTGATAAATGAGTATCAAATCTTGCCCATTTCGGAAGATTATTTGATTTTTTTCCCTTGTTCCCCTTATTATCATTATCAGATGTATTCAACTCCATTTTAACGGTTGGAGATGAACGTTCAAATAAATCACCTTTCAGCAAACATACTTTTTCAATAACAGCTGATAATAATGTAAATGCAAATGTACTATAAGTGAATTGAACACCAGGTGTATGCACTAAAGGATCATTTTTAAACATATCGCACGCATTCATCGTATCTTCGAAACGCACGTTACTTAACATTTCTGGATAGTCCTAAAAAATGAAAATAGGGAGGATATATTAGAACTAATTTATCAAACAATGAGACAGATGTGGGTTGACTGACTGGTTTCAACATACGAATTTGCACAGATAAGCAGCAGTTTGAGTTGACACACTCCATGTAGCGCGTAAAACAGGAGGAGAGAGTAAAGAGAGATTCAAAAGACAGATAATAAACGGAAGTGTGAGACAAAAAGAATAGTAATACGGAAGAATATTAGAGTTTTATTGGATATGATAAATCACAAAGAGTGAATGCATCTACGCCGCCAATGAGAACAATTTGAGCCATATCACTAATTTTCTTCAGTCACTGATTTTCACCATCCCGCGAATCGCAACTAGCCAAAACGTCTACACCTCCCGACGTGGCTGGCTTAAACTAACTGTTGTGGATTTCATTGGCTGATGAAGCCATGTGCTGTCTTGGTCACCAATAGCTCTTTTCTAACCTGATCCCATGTCAGCCAACATTGGACGTCGAGGAAGGCGATGGCTAGGCAGGCATGCGCGACACACGCCCCAACCATCTCAGTCGACCTCGTTGATTGATTTTCCTCCCTTACCTAGCAATTGATACCTAACCTCAATATTGCTCACCCTATTATACCACCTAACACCGGAGATAGAATGCAGACAGCAGTGATTAAAAACAGCTGGCCCTTTCTTATCTTCCACTTCCAATGGACATGTCTCACAGCCAGCCGGATATCACGTCTACACCAGAGTTGGCATACACCAAACAATATGATACAAACTTAGTCTGTAGAATCAAGTTCGCGAATTTTATTTGAGAAGTACAGAATAAAATTTTAGAAAAATTTTCAAAGACTCTTTTAAAAGAAACAATATACGAAGGTGTTTCGGAGAATCCTGAAAAATTCGTGTTTGACTTGTCTGTTTATAAGCCCGGCCGACAAGCGTTATCTTGTCGTGGTGGTGGGGCTTGAATACCGCTTTCACCTAACAAGCTAAACTGTCTCGGACTTATGTTCCTGCAGGTCCTACCATGTCAGGAAGGTTGTTTGGATAGTGGTTAAACTAAAAGCAGTTAATATGGAATACATGGGCTCCAGAATCCAATCGGATCAAATGGCGTTTGAACCTGTATTGGTCATCGGCAATCATGGGAACGTGGCTCCTAACACCGGCTTGCGGATTAGACCCCAAGTCAAAGCCTCCGGAAGCACCACCTGCTTCGGTCTGGGCGCCCGGGCAGTACCTCAGCTCTCATACAATCAATGAAATGAAACAACGAAATGCCGGCAAAACTATTCCCATGTTAATTACAATGCTCTTGAACATAAATGATGTTTAAAGTGATACATTTCTTTTTAACCCTATTTTCATATATTAGCTTTTGAGTTTTACTTTTGTTATCTTTGGTGTCTTCACTTTCGTCAGCATTGATGCGAATCGGACAACAGGTAGGTTTGGTAAGAACATTGGAAAGCCTGGCTGTTGATGTCTGCTGAATATCGGAGATCCGCATTCAAGATCTCAGTGACGTGCTTCGACTTTCGTCTCCATCTGAAAGTTCGAATAGTATGTACCAGCTCGGCTGGTCCGGGTACCCTGTGGCGTCGGTGTCACATTAAGTGATAGAGCCGAAACCGTATTACTCGACTAGATCCCCATTAATAATCGTTTATATGCTGTGAGGGAAGCGGCGAGTGGGATGTCCAAGGGTGACATGGAGGAGATCATGTGAAGAGGAGTTGAAACAATATGGACTAACATGAATGCAGGTGAAAAGCACAGCAGAAGACAGAAGCAAGTGGAAATGTGCAGTTGAAGCCCTATGTTCCACTAGGAACCCAAGGGAACAATAATAATAATATGTGCTGTGAGGTTATACGAAAGTAAGGAGTGCCTTTTTGTTGTCTATGCCTATGCACCAACGCATTGAAGCCCAATTGCAATTAAGGATGAGTTCTACTACCAACTGAGCGATCCCTTGAAACAGGTGCGTTGGAGAGATATTGTAGCTCTAGTTGGGGACTTGAATGTACAAGTTAGGCGTCTAGGCCTAGAGGAGAGTCATTTAGGTGCTCAGTGGGGATTACATGGTCGCAGGTCAGATAATGGGGACCGTCTTCCGCAGCTTTGCGCAAATCACAACCTATTTCTAGCCAACACTAACTTCCGGTACAACATTCGCTGTGGCGCTACTTGGCGTCTTCCCTCTGCCTATCAAGCCCGGACTCAGATTGGTCAAATTGCTGTCAGTTTCCGTGGCGAGGATACATACAGGACTGCCGCCACTTCTGGAGCGCATGCCCGGACTCTAACCATACGTCGGTGTTTGCCAGGCTCGTCTTGCGATTTGCTGGCGTTCACAAACGGCGTCATTTACATGTTGATGTAAGCAAACTGGCATCATCTGCTATCTCTTTGAAATACTAGGCTGCGTTACAAAAAAACCTTGCTAGCAACCCTCCAAGGATTATTGATTAACATTGGCTACATCTTTAAGGCACCATACAAACGGCGAGTGAAGCCAATTGTGGCTTAAAAGACAGCTCCGCCAAAAACCACTGGGTTTCTGCAAGTTTCTTGCAACTCCTGGATGAAAGCCAATCCACTCCGACAGGTAGCGAGTACAACAACATGAGAAAGGCGCTCACACGCAAGATCAATAAGTGTTCACTTAAGGATCTCGAAGACTAATGGTCAAGACGCGCTTATGAGATGGAGTCAGCAGCTGAATCTGGAAACAGTTGGAAGCTGTTCAAGCTCATCCAAGCCACCGGCAGCAAGTAACAGGGTGTCAGGGAGACGGTCTGCAAGGTAGATGGCACGCCAGTTACCAACCAGAGAAGACGCCTGGGATGCTGGGTACAGCACTTTGAGAAGCAGTTTAGCTGGCCACTAGCGCCAGTATCCACTTTCATCAGCTACAGTGCTCCTTGGTAGGGCAATACCGACCCCCCAGTAGAAGTTGAGATCAAGAAGGAACACCAAGCGTTGAAACGTGTAGATTTACGCCTTGGAGATAGACTTTTCGACCCATGCAGACGATATCGTCTTACTATGCAATAGGATGCCGACTGCCCAAATCGCACTTAATCATTGGGCGATCAGTGTCTGTAAGTATAATATGTGTTTTCCGCAGTATAAGTGCAAAGTACTGTTACAAGATTAGCAGGAGCATGTACTTGCACTCACTCTTGCAGGTGAACCGCTTGAAGCTTTCAATAAGTTCGTGTCTGGATAGTTGTGTGAATGCTGGTGGAGGTACGACAGACGAAATTTCCAACCGTCACGACATTAGCCTGACTTCCAAAGGTCTGGTTTACAATGGTTCGGTGCGTACTGCCTTGCTCTACGCCTGAGAAACCTGGCCTCACCGAGCTCAGAATGTGCAGTGACTCTGCATAGTATTTCATCGCTGTCTCCGTAGAACTGCATGCGTTTGATGGCGTCATCGCGTGAGTAACTCTGAGGTCGGGAAACGCTTGTTTGAACACAGTGGAGATCACCATTTTTTGAGTGTCGTCAACTGGAAACATAGTCTTCGGTAGCTTGGACATGTGCTACGAATGTCATCTCAGAGGCTTCTGTGCTGGTCTCTGTTCGCCAGCCCTGGGACGGGATGGAAAAGGCGGAGAAAAGGTCAGCTCATGACGTGGTGTTGTGGGATGAAGGATATTTTTTATAGGTTAACATCGGTTGGTGCGTCACGTCTGCCTGGTTGGAGTCCGAGAAATAGCTCGAAACGTTATCGGATATGGCCAAGAATCGTAATCAATGACGAACGTGCTGAAAATTCTTTCTTCTCTTCCCGACGATAATTGACGAATGCTGTTTGAACTTGTGAAATGTGACTGTTCTCCATCCAGATGAATTTCTTTATCCGTTCTCTACCTATATTTTTACTCTTGATCTATGTTGTTTCATTATTATTGTGTGGCTCATCTTTTTGGTGCCTTATTGTACCAAGATTTTGTGTTTAAACAATAATAATAGTTATAAGATGAGTCAGATAGAAACAGAAGCACTTTCGTTAGGTTTCAAATTCCACATTCCGACGAAAATTATCAAGAAAATTAACGTTGAAGCCCAATTCGAAGGTTCTTATCATCAGTTATCTGAATTAAAACCGATAGATGAAGAGAAACAAGGCCGGTTGAAACCTCGACTTGTTGATATTACTCATCAATAGACCATATCCCTAAATCAACAGTTTTGTTGACAGACTATCAGATAGCATTACGAAACTTAACTTGCAGTGAATCTATTGTAATTCTCCGAACAGACATAGGAGCAAGGGTTATGATAGTGGACAAAGATGGTTATGTACAGAAAGCCAAAACACTTTTGAGTGACGCATCAACATTTCGAATTGTTCACTTGGAAAAAGACCTAAGTGAATCTATGGTAAGACGAATTATCAAGAAACTAAGAGAACTTTTGAAGAAGTTGATTGACAACAACACAATAATTGAAGCCTAGAGGGTCCAGATTGCTTCAAGTATACGGCTCACCAAAGATGCATAAACCCAATGTTCCTATGAGACCAATACTATCCATCGTCGATTCTTCGTATCACAAAGTAGCTCGGTGGCTAGCAGAACTATTGGAGCGAATCCGTGCCAAGTTAGCCGTCTATAGCCTGAAAGATGTCTTTCATTTTGGTAGACAATAAGAGAATTTAGATATCTCAAATAAATTGATGGTGTCATTTGACATCTCTTCATTGTTTACGAAGATCCCATTAGAAGAAACAATAAAAATTATATGTCAACATGCTGATCTCATTCCTCTGCCAAAGAATGAACTCAGACAACTGCTGCTAATATGTACTAAGGATATACACTTTCAATTTAATATTGTTCTTTACCGCCAAATTGATGGAGTCACTAAGGGAAGATCGCTCTGTCAGATTTTATGGGCGACCTGGGACAAACAAAAAAGAGGGTCGCAATCGATCAGACGGACTTCAATACCAGGTATGTTAATGACAAGTTTGTCATTTGTGACTGTTTTAATGACGCATCTCAAATATTAAATGACCTGAATAGTGCTCATAAAGTTTATAACGGAGTGTGAAGATGAGAACAAGTAAGACTTTTTGGACCTCGGCATCGAACGTGATAACGATGGTTAAACCATGAGGTACATCTATAGTAAGGAGACCTTGAGGGCGACTCACTTGAATTTCAAAAGCTTCTGCCCTATAAATTACAACAAGGGATTGGTGATTGTGTAAGGGCGCTTTGCTCAGAAGAAAAACTGGAGGAAGAATTAACCACTGTTGAAAAATGCCAGCGTGATAATGGTTACCCACAGAGGTTCATCGACAAACATGGAAAACGTAGTTTTGACAACGTGAAGTAAAGTACAGTACAGAAAAAAACCTTATTTCTACAGCTTGCCTTCAAAGGTGACCATACTGCAAATAGAGTAAGATGCAGACTGAAAGCTACACTGAAAATACCATATCCAGCTACCAAGCTTGTATGTGCTTATCAATGGACCTGTTGTTTAAGACAGTCAAAAGTGGATGAACTCTCACCTCATGTTACCTTCAAATGCGTCAACCAATTTACATGTACGGGTCAAAGCACATACTTTAGAGGAACAAAGAGAAGAGTTATTGTCTGCATCTCTGAACACATACCAAAGAACTTGAGAGTAAAGAGCCCATAAGCACTAAAAAGTGCGATTGCACGCCATTTATTGGGCACTGGCCATGTTGTAGACAATCTGAAGGTGTTTAATATAATCAACAGACAAAAGAGAAACATAACCTACTTCGTTTTGCTTAGACAATCGTCATCAAACGACTAATACAAAACCTATGTACGCATAAAGAGACAGTGGTTAATCTTGCACTGCTTTGGTGATAACATAGCATACGAAATTCACTACGTCATCTCTCCTGTTTAGAAACCTTGATTATTTTTGTCCGCACATGACTCATCTTGCCCTTTTTTGTCTGTTTTATAAAAACGTGTTTTTCCGTGGTTACGTAATCTATTACTCTTAACATTCCTTCTAATTAAACTTTGTTTCTACCCACAAAACACCGGTTGAACTCTGTCCTTTTGTTTCGACGCCTAGTCATGCAATCCTTCTACAAATAGTCAATCTTTTTCATTTTTAATTATTTAACAGCTTACATCATTCCTGATCAATGTGACTGTTAGTTCCAATCAATTAGTCCTTATCATTGTAAAAAGCATGTTCAGATCTTTAATTTAATTTATAATTTTGGTATTGTTCAGGATGTAACCAGCTGAGAAGAGTCCACAAAATAGTTACAAACAATGAGCTTAGATTATCCTCGTACATTTGTAGTCTTGTTTCATTTAAATTTAAAACTGATTTGGTTCTCCTTTTAGAGTATTTGTGAAGCACGAACCCTGAGAAAAAAGATTCTGTAATGGAAGAAACTTTAAAACTTCATGATTAAGTTTTGACATTATTTTGATTTGATGCAAATATTAAGATTAAAGGGGAAGGGATGATAAATCTACTCACCAGTTCTTTGTTCTTATCAGTATTCTTCTTATAACTACGAATACCACTTGTATGATTTAGCAACGTTCGAATGGTAATTTTGGCCTAAAACAAAAAGAAAATAAGATTAAGAGTTCATGCATGACACATAGAATGAAATCAGACCATACTTAAAACACATGCTGCACATCTCAAATTATTATTATTATTATTATTATTATTGTATCCTTTAGTTCCTAGAGGAACATAGGGCTTCAGCTGCGCACCTCCATTGACTTCGGTTTTCTCCCAACTTTTTCACCCTGCTCCAGGTCTGTCCACATGCTTTCATCTCTTCCTCGCATGACCTCCTCCAAGTCACCCTTGGACGACCAACTCGCCGCCTCCCTTTCGGGTTCCACTCGAGGGCTTGTCTAGTGATGTCACTTGATGGTTTCCTCAGCGTATGGCCAATCCATCTCCATTTCTTTCTGCCTATTTGTTTCACAATCGGTTCCTGATTGGTTCGCTCCCAGAGATCCCTGTTGCTGATCTTTTCTGGCCATCTGATCTTGAGTATTGAGCGGAGACAGTTGTTAATGAATACGATTTAAATTTCTATACAATTGGTAATGAGCCAGACCTATTCGTGATGGCCGCTGGAACTATCTGGCTGGTCAACTTCTGTAGGTGGAACAGGATTTGGACCTGCTATCTGGTGGCTGAAAGTGCAGCATCAAAATAAATGCGCCACACTACTGTACTTTATCCAATAGCCAGTTCTTTCTTTTACCAAAATAGATGAAAAAGTTGACTAACTGGTTTCAACATACGAATTTGCACAGATAAGCAGCAGTTTGAGTTGACACACTCCATGTAGCGCGTAAAACAGGAGGAGAGAGTAAAGAGAGATTCAAAAGACAGATAATAAACGGAAGTGTGAGACAAAAAGAATAGTAATACGGAAGAATATTAGAGTTTTATTGGATATGATAAATCACAAAGAGTGAATGCATCTACGCCGCCAATGAGAACAATTTGAGCCATATCACTAATTTTCTTCAGTCACTGATTTTCACCATCCCGCGAATCGCAACTAGCCAAAACGTCTACACCTCCCGACGTGGCTGGCTTAAACTAACTGTTGTGGATTTCATTAGCTGATGAAGCCATGTGCTGTCTTGATCACCAATAGCTCTTTTCTAACCTGATCCCATGTCAGCCAACATTGGACGTCGAGGAAGGCGATGGCTAGGCAGGCATGCGCGACACACGCCCCAACCATCTCAGTCGACATAACTTCACAACCTCGTTGATTGATTTTCTTCCCTTACCTAGCAATTGATGCCTAACCTCAATATTGCTCACCCTATTATACCACCTAACACCGGAGATAGAATGCAGACAGCAGTGATTAAAAACAGCTGGCCCTTTCTTATCTTCCACTTCCAATGGACATGTCTCACAGCCAGCCGGATATCACGTCTACAGGAGAGATGGCATAAGTTGGCATATGCCAAACGAGCCTTCTATATCTGTGCTGAGATATCGCCAGTGATCAACCCGTTGAGGTTGATGCAACTAGTCAAATAAGTGAGTTGGTCAACACTCCATCACTTCACTCCCTATCTTTAATCTAGGAGTCGGTGCAGTTCCGTCCTGCAGCATCATCTTACATTTGACAGCAGCGAATCGCATGCCAAACATTCAAAGATTGCTGCTCCTCAAGGTGTTCACAAGACTCTGCATTTTGTCAGCGTTTCCGCCTGGAAGGAATATATCATCTGCTTATTTTACGTCAAGATTATCCCCTAGTAACAGAGAAATCAATCCCTGAGTTGCTTAAGTCAGTCAAGGTTAAGTCCATCAGTACATATGTGATGAAATTAAACAGAATTTAGGATAGTGGGCACCCATGTAAGACACTTCTTCAGATGACAACTCTCCATAGGCTCTCACCTGGCTAACTGCATGAGTTCGAGTAGAGTGCTTTGGTCAGTGCGATGAATCTTCTAGGCATTCTCTTCACAGTCAAACATCGTCATTTTACCTCTCGGTCGACAGAATCGAATTCCGCTTTCACGTCAAAAATATGATTATTGCACAGCCGTAAGTATGGCAATGTTCTGGAATCGTTCGAAGGTTGAATATATAATGAATGCACCCTCTTCGTGCTCTAAAGCCTGCCTGGTTTTCTTGTGCTTGTTCCTCCCATGGACCGATTAGTCTACGCATGATTATTGAGCCTAAAACTTAAGATATTATATTGGTCAAGCTAATTCCCCTGTGATTATCACGGGAAGACTTATCTCCCTTCTTGTATATCGGAATAATAAATGACTTACACCAGCCTGACGGGACTACCTTTGATTCCCAGACGCTGCCTAATACCTTAGTTGACGTATACAGCTAACTGTCTTTAGCGTCTTTAAACACTTCTGGAGTCACTCCATCAAGTCCCGCTGCTTTATCTCGTTTTTGATTAGAGACAGCTTCTGTAACCTCAGTTAGGGATGGGATGTTGGTGTTTATATCCCATTCAGGAAGGTGTTAGCTGCTGGGTAAGTTGAGTATGGCTGCAGGTCAGTTTAATTGTTCCTCAATGTTCCTTCCAACGTTCTAGTAATCTATCCTGGGAGCTAATTATGGTACCATATTTCTCAGATTGTTTCACTTATCATTTGCCTTGTGCCATCTGTTTTCTGATAAGTCTATATAGTTGCCTGGTGTTACCTATCGCCAATACCTTCTCCATCTCTTTCGCTTTTGTCTCCCACCACTTTTCACGGTCGTTGTGAAGAATTCCTGTCGGTTTGCGTTTGAGCAGCTTTAGCTTTTCATCATATTTGGAGCTCGTCAAAATCAGTTTTCTTGTCTTAATCAGTTCGGGTGTGATAGTAGAAATACACTGACTTTTACTAGCTTTTGGTTTAGGTTATTAACAGCCTTTGCAGCTGTGTCTACAGCTAACTGTGTATTGTGCCAGGCTACCTCAGGAGAAGTCTTTTTGACGACCTCAGATACGCGTTTCGTTATTTCTCCCTTAAATTTGGACTCACTATCATGATCAAGTTGGGTGCGTAACTGCTTCACTGCCGACAGCTTTTTATTTCAGTTTAACCGTAAGCATAAACGTGCGTGAACCAGGGAGTGATCGGAGTCTACGCATGTGTTCCAAAAGGAGTGACAGTTTCCTACTGACCCTAGCCAACGATAGCCTATAGCTATGTGGTCTACTTGAGTCCAACGTTGATTTGGTGATGGAGGTCTCCAGGTCAAGCAGTGTCTCTCTTTGTGCCTAAAGTTAGTGCTGACTTGGAACAGATGATTATCTGGATAGAACTGTAAAAGACAACCACCGTTGTCGGGTCCTCGGAAAGGAACTCCGTACGTACTACCAATATGCTTCTGAGTCTGGCATAACTTCTCTACCTGGGCAATGAAGTCTCGTGCTAAAACAAGCATATCGGAGAGTTTTGCTTTTTGTAGCAAACTAGACAGTTTCTGGTAAAAACTATCCTTTAATTCATCAGAACTGCAGTTGGTTAGGGAATAAGAGGCGACTATGAAAAGACAACAACCGGTAACGCTTTCCTTCCTTCTTCTAACGGACCCGTTCAGACGGACCGCACACATATGTCTACCCACTGGGATCAAGTAGTAAGTAAGCCTGTGCATACACAAAAACAAGAATATAAGCATAAAACTTCATTAATCGAATAAATGGGTGAATGGAAAACAGCTGAATACTTGTTTATAACAAATATGAGATGCTAAGTTGATAAGTGTTAAGTTGATAACCCTTCAGCTAACAACTCCAATTAATCCCTAGGGCGACATATCTATTACTGTAAGACAACCAGGTGAGGTAAACGACATATTTTTAAAAAGTTAAACTAAATAATAGTGACAGATATGGTTTAACTGCAGTCAGTTATTCATCAAATGTTTTCATCACGAAATCAGTAAAATGCTTTGCAAGAAACTATAAAATGATGCATTAAATAGGTAATTGAAATGTGTTACACAATGCACTTATTTTACAACAGCAATAGCAATTACTTGATATATAATAAAAGTGCCCAGTTAGAGAATTAAATGGAAGTGAAGTAACGTCGGTAAGAATAACATTAAAAATTGGAAGACAAGAGATCATTTGTTTTATGCAGAGATTATTTAACAATGTGCAGAGTAGTGAACAAGGATTTATTAAGGATATTTATCCAGATACCCAAGAACAATTCGCTCGCCTAATGTTATGCTGTGCATCATCTAAGTTGTAACGATAGTCATTAACATAAAACTTCATACATATGACAATAAACGAGATGTATACTATAGTGCTTCGCATTATTGTTTGATAATCGGAGTGAAAATTAAACTTGGAGATCTAGAGATGGGCGAATAAAGTACAATTCAAAACCAAGTACCTAAGAGTAAAGCCTCATTAATGAACATATGCGAAAATTGGTAAATCTTCAGTAATCAACATACATATATGGTTACAACTAAGATTATAAAGATACATTTACCATCAAAATATTGGAAACATACGTATTTATTGTCGACCATTTTCTCAGGAAATTCAGGTAAATAAGTACGAATGTCCTCATCGAGGTCCAACTTGCCCTGATCCAACAATCTTCCAACTAATAATGAAGTAAATGGCTTACTAATACTAGCAATCCGAAAAACTGTATCTGCTTTAACTGGTACCATGTGTTCAACGTTGGCGTAACCAATACCTATAAAATGAGTAAGTGTAGGGAAATTCACTCATTTGTATTTAAAGTTCTGAATCATGTAAACCTTTTGTTTTAGATACTATTGTTTACTAACCTTCTTGATAAATAATATTTCCTGATAGGGAAACGCAAACAGAAATACCTGGACAACCCATCTTTTCCTGAAACATTACACATAGAGTATAATGAGTCAACTACTCACCTTAAATCTGCACACCATGTTTCTTGCACGGTTTCTATATTCTACAATAAGCGGTGGTGGCTGTCGATGGTACTGATATTCATACGATGAAGGTTTATTTGAAGTCTCATCGAAAATCGGAGATTGCAGTTGGGAGGATGCTAAAGCAGTCAAAATTAAAGCGGGACGAATTTTCATAATGCAAATGCCTCAGAGATAGCCAAGGAAAAGTTTCGTATGTGGTTATAATACTGAATGTTGCGAATTCTTAGTTCTGACTTGTCTGAAACGGAAATATAATCAGATAAATCACTAAATATTAAATAACCATCTACATAGGATATTTTAGGGTTAAAATGAAACATTGGTTCCGCCCATAGAGACATTATTTTGTTCAGCGATTAATAGGAGAAATCACCAGTCTGCATGTTATTTACTTTGACGCTTGAAGAGAATGATTTTGAGTTCAATTCTTAGTAGGAGCACCATCATCCTTTAGGGCTAACGACTCCCAAATGTGATGAAACATGCATCCTAGACTCTAAATATAACGATTTTAACCATAAGATGCGGTTGAACCGTTCGTATTAGAAGCCAGTATGTCGACAGACCAAGCATTTTAGTGCAGTAAATTAAATCCCCAAGGAATCAGATATAAATGTTTTAATAAATAAGAACTTCATAGGTTTTTGCTTTTGTCCTGTATAATAATCAGCCTAACGTACACCTTCGTAACTATTCCAAAATCTAGGTTTCCGCACCTAAAAAAACAGAGACATTATAATTGTTACCGTATACAAAGACTCAAGAAAGTAATAGCCTACCATAAAGTCAATCAAGAGCGAGTGACTTATTTGTCAAAGGTCACTTGAAGGACCTACACAATGATATTACAAACATCTATTTTGCCATTAAACAAAAACACTTGCCAAGGTGGTTTGGTGAATTTCCAACCTTTTCAGTGCCCCATTACGCTAATCCATTCATTTTAAGAGTGAGTATTATAGTCCCTTTAGTTTTTGCACTTTTGTAGCGGAGTATAAACTTTTAAGAAGATTTGTTAAATCGTTTAACAAGTGCTTTATATGTTCTTTACGAATTTTGGTAACGAGTCTTATAAAAGTTCGGAATTTCACACTGCTCTACCGTTAGCTTAAAACTTACGGTTCCTGTAAACAGTTTTTAGAGGGATTACCTCATTTTAATGGTCATTCTATGTTTATCAAAAAAGCCAGGGGTCGATATCTTATGAATCAAAAGACAAGGGGGATGGGTGACTAAAGAATAGCGGCCCAAACCGAAACGACCTTTTAACGTAAAAATGACCTTGACAGGGACAACTTCGGCCAATGAGAAGGCTCAAAAAGGAAGGCGCATAATTGTAAAAAACGGTTTATATATAAGTAATGCAATCATAATAAACAGTTACAAAGGATGGCGCTCGCGTATATGTCTCAAAAAAATCTCCCAGTTTCTCGTGGGAGTCTTCATAGTCGTATGAAACCAGTTTCGGTACATAAATTATCCGCCTTGAATACGACGTGCTTTTTCCTCTCCAACCGGAAAATACCAATTCTGTGAATTATCCGTTTGGGAAACCTGATCTTCCTAGCCGGTGAATTTAATTCAACCATTACTTACATAGTAAATCTCTGTGTGGTAAGTCCAGCTGTCTCGAACTACTGCCAAAGCTTCAGGTGCTACTTTTGTAGCAGCATCTTCCTCACTCGTTCAGAGAAACAAGACTTGTTGGTCTACCACGTGATTGCCGTGAAGCCGATCATTCAGAAAGTACTAGGTAAAGTCGAAAACCTTTTCTTTTCCTTGCCTTACACTTTTTCAGTCTTATTCTTGCTCTTTTGGTTAGAAACTGTTGCTCTCTTAGACGTACATAGCATAATTTATAGTGATTGTTAATATGGTTGTTGAAAGCAGCCTTAAAAAAGCCACTAGAATACCGTACTCTGTAGTCACAAGGGCTTCAGCCAGGGAAGGAAAAAATCCAGGGATTTCAACCCCTTCCCGCATACCGATCCTAAAGACTCGTGTAGCTTTAGTCTGCCCTGATACAACGCCTGCATTGCCACAGTCTAGTACTGAAACGGCACAGGCAATACCAGAAGGACAGAATTCTACACCTGCATCAACTGTAGGCCAGTGTGTGAAACACATCAAGCCTAAAAGGAAACGTTCAAGACGTCATAAGACCTCGAAGGCGTCATCAAGGAAAGGGGATGAATGCCAGGCGTGCAGCATCACAGTTTCTAAAACTGATTCAGCGTTTGAATGTAATTTTTGCAAACGATGGGTGCACTGCCGTTGTGACAAAGAAGTACCGAAAGCATACTATGAGTTTATGAGAAATAACCCATGCCCATGGTTTTGGTACGTGTGTCCACTTTGTCGCCCTGGCATAGTCCCACAAAGCGTGTCTGCGGATAGCAGAAATAACATGCTCTTGTGCCCCAACACAGTATCATGCAGCTCCCCCCTGCTAAACTCGCACTGCCGAAACTGGTCAAAGACTTAAAGAAGGACACACCAGCCCTACTGACTGGAAATGCCAATTCTCACAAGGTGAAGATTAGCAAGGTTCCATCCACATCAAGGGAGGGCAAAATTACAAAGGCACCACTTGCATCCACTAGCAAGCCTGGCAACACAAAAAAGGCTGTCCAGGTACCGACGAAGCCTAATGTTGCTAATGATGCAAAGGACTGCAAGAAGCCGAAGGCAAAACCTAAGTCTGAGGGTAGTCGGTCTAACTCTCTCATCCTCTTTAACGTACCTGTGAGCACGGATAGCTTGCTCGAACAACGGGCCCTGTTTGATCAGGAACAGTGGTCCAACCTGTGTGGCAAACTAGGTCTGAACATTAGTTCAGCAAAACTGTGCAGACTGTACAGGGGTGTCCACACGCCTCAGGGTAAGCCACCCCCATTACGGGTTACACTGGACTCTGCCGAAGAGGCCGAAAAAGTACTGTTAATGGCTCAGGTACTAGCCCTGGACAGAAGTTCTAACATAAGAGCGCGGCAAGATAGACCATGGGCCGTCAGAAATATGGCGAGGGAGTCACCGGAACTGATGCCTTCCACCTCTATGGTGGTACACGGTGTTCCGGAGCTGGAAACCGGCACTGCTTGTGAAAAACACATGCACGACGTACAACAATGGAGATGGCTGTCATCTCAGATGGCCCCTGGCGCTTCTGGAGCCATCTCCATTTTCCGACTACCTCGTCCCGCTCATCTAACATTGATTAACTCTCCAAAGCTGCTGTGTGTCACATTCAACTCCCCGGAGCAGTTGTCCATATCACTTCAACGGTGGTATGAGACCAAGGGAAAAATTGGAGGACACATCCGATGCTGTGAAAGCAGACCCAGAAATATAAGGAGGCAGCAAACTGAGGCTTTAATACGACCCCAAGCTTCGGTGACACTAGAGCGATGCAGCTCTGAGAATAATAGTCTGTGTCTCCCAAGTGTCCTGCCTAAATCCATTGAAAAAAACTACAACGGGCCGGTTCTATCGGAATCGGCCAACTAGTTCCAACATCAAGTCCCCCACCAGCAGACGGTTTCACGTCAACTACCCCACAACACTCTGAGGTTGTTAGACTCACTGTCAGTTGCCTATATAGCAATGTGAGGGGGCTGAGAGGGAAAGTAGGTGAACTCCGAAATCTCCAAGCACACCTTCAACTGAAAATAATCATTCTTACTGAAACGTGGCTAAACCCCACTATCGCCGACAATGAAATCAGTATAGGTGATATGGTACTGGTCAGGAGAGACAGGGATAATAAGGAAGGAGGGGGAGTTGCTATATACTTTGATAGGCAACTTAAATGTGTGCGCGCAACGGACCCACCACTTATCGAACTCCCAGACTCCATATGGTGTCATTTCACCGTAGGCCACACCAAGCACTTACTGGGTGGCATCTACCGATCTCCCACCTGTGGGGCAGAGCACAATCAGCTACTGCTCAGCACTATCACAGGAATACGAGATTTGGGCTACGACCAAATCACCATAGCTGGAGATTTCAATGCTCCATCACTGAACCTTGGCTCCGGGTGTGCTAAGGGAAAATTTGGCCGAAACCTACTGCAAACTATTCGAAACACGGGACTGACTGAGAATGTTGGAGACGACACTAGGTGGGGCCCTAGTGGAAAGTCATCAAAACTAGATTATATTCTAACTAGTGACCAGCTACTCGTCGAAAAGGTCCAGATCATGACTCCTCTGGGAAGCAGTGACCATGCAGTCATAGGTTTCGATCTTGTCCTCCGTGAGCGTTTGCAATGGGATGTTACGCGACCATGTCTGTGCTACAGCAAGGCTGACTATGCTGAAATGCGGAGGCTCTTGTCCGACGCAGACTGGCCCTTAGCATGGGACGACCTATCTGTGGATGAACACTGGGAAGTGGTAAAAAAGATTATCCATGCAGCAATCTCGGATACCGTCCCTTTAGTCACAACACAGCCTAAGAGAAAGACGTCATGGTTGAAGAGAGGCACGCAACGTATTCTGCAAGCAAAGCGGAGGGCTTGGTTTACGTGGCGTGTATCTAAGAGTCAGACCGACCATGATGCATACCTCGAACTCAGGAACCGGTGTAATGCAAGAGTTAGGAGGGACAGAAGGTCATTCCAGGCTAACCTTGCTAAAAAACTCCTATCAAACCCTAAAAACTTGTACCGATTCATGTCGGAAAGAAAACCGACAAACCAAGGGGCATGCGCCTTAGTAGGCCCAAACGGTCAATATCTCACTAGTCTGGAGATGGCTGAAACATTCAGTTCAGCCTTCGCTAAACAGCTAAACAGCAATGTGGATATTACAGTTACGGACCAAAATGGTGGCACCACTATTTCAGAGGAGGAAGACCTAGCGACTACTCCCCAAATAAACCCCGCAATAGTACTAAGGAAGCTACAGCGACTCATACCTGGGAAGTCCCCAGGTTGTGATGACATCAGGCCATCTGTTCTGAAACAGTGCGCCGAGGCTCTCTGTAGACCCCTGTGCGACTTGTTCCAACACTCAATGGATTCGGGGACCCTGCCAAGGGAGTGGAAAAGAGCCATCCTTTCTCCAATCTTCAAGGGTGGGGACAGGCAAAACGCTGCTAGCTATAGACCAGTAGCTCTACTCCCAGTGGTATCAAAAGTACTGGAAAGTATTATTGACGACCACATCAGGGAATATTTCGATAGGACTAATATACTGCATGAAGCCCAACATGGTTTCAGAAAAGGCAGATCCTGCGTCACTAACCTACTGTCAGCTTGGGACGACTGGACATCATGCTGGGACTTGAACGTACCAGTCCATGTGGTCTTCCTAGACTTTGAGAAGGCATTTGACACTGTTCACCATGACCTTCTCCTACATAAAATAAGCCAGGCAGGCATAGGTGAGCCACTTCTGTCATGGTTGAAGGACTACCTAGCCGACAGGCAATTTTGCACTAAGGTTAACCGAGTCCGATCATCTTGGCACAGATCGTCATCAGGAGTGTCGCAGGGTTCTATCCTAGGACCACTGATGTTTTTGATTTTCATCAATGATCTACCACGCCGTCTGAGCTGCCCGACTCTCCTGTACGCTGACGACGTAAAAATATGGAGGGCGATAAAGTGTCCGGAGGACTCAGATAGGCTACAGGAAGACCTAAACCTTCTGGAAGACTGGGCGGTGGCCAGTGGCATGACTTTCAACTTGAAAAAGTGCAAAGTAGTGAAGTTGCGCACCTGTAGACTGCAGAATGCAAGTTACACCCTGTGCAATGAAAGCTTGTCCTGCACAACGTCGGAACGCGACTTAGGTCTAGTTCTAACGGAAAAAATGGACACAAGCGTAAATTACACAGGGGATGTAGCGAGGGCATATGCGGTCATACACTTTACGCATAGACAGTTAGGTGCACTCACTCCTGAGCTCTTTCTAATGTTGTACAAAACATACGTCAGGCCACACCTTGAGGTGCATAATATTATTGCACCCCCAATGCTGAGAAGAGATGCCAACCTCTTGGAAAGAGTCCAACGACGGGCAACAAAAGGAGTGGTTGGTCTCCGAAACAAACCATATGATGAAAGGCTGAAGAAATTAGGCCTGTTCACACTTAGTTACCGTCGGCTTAGGGGGGATTTGATTACTGCCTACAAAATAACAAATGACCAGAATCACCCAAACAAAGGTGTTCTGCCATTGAGTAGGTATAGGCTTCCACGTGGAAATCCCAGAAGGATAGCTCACCAGAGGGCAAGGACCCGGGTGCGCTCCCACTTCTTTTCACTGCGGGTTTGTCGTCCCTGGAATTCCTTACCGGCAGATGTAGCTATGGCACCGTCTTTGGACGCCTTTAAGCGAAGGCTGGACAACCATGCAGCGATACAAGGACTGCATCCAAATGGCCTATCTCCTTAAAATCGCATTTACCAATCAGGGTAGATAATTAAACTCGTCATTTTACTTCTTTACATTCTCTCCCGTCTTACTCTCCTGACAACTTATTAATATTATAATTACTATTATTATTATTATTACTATTACCGATATATATATTATTCTTCAAACTTCATGAGCTGACTGTTGTTACGTTTCCTATTTTCGTTTCTGTCTCTTAGTCTGAATAGCTTCACTAATTATATCTATTATTATTATATTATTATTACTATTATTATTATTATTACTATCTCTTTTCTCTTGTCGACAATACCGAAGGACTAACTGGCGAAAGGATCAACTCCAATCACAGTAGTAACAGTCTTAACATACCTCATACTACAAACCACATATAATTAATCCCAGCACTACTCCCTTTGGAGTCAACCAAAGCTACGACAGTCGAGTGGCGGGACAAGCTACGCAGAAGTTTACCGAAGATCAAGAACCTATACCTCACAATCAAGAAGCGAGCACAAAGAAATCAAATTGGTTTATACTAGCTCGTAAAAACGATATTGGATATTGGATTGGAAATTCATCCAGGTAACTGTAAATCATGGGATTTCTCGATCCATTAACCGCTCTTATACGTCTTTTTAGATGACTCCTAAAACTTTCAATGGAACTGGTGTGGGTTCCATCTAAAGGATTCCGGAAACCGTCCGTATGATTAACAACATGATGAATGTACCCATGATTCGATAATTGACGGTATCCGCTCCATTCATCTGTATGAATAGTCGTCCCCGGCAACACCAAACGCTTAATAATAGGCACTAATACTGCTGCACTGCGACTGATAATCGCTTCTATATACCCTTTGCGCAGTGTCGTGTCGTAGATACCCAGTATCCACTACTGGTTTGCTTGTAATCTCCCACGGTTGTATTTCCTTTTTATAAGTACAGTCTCATCGATATGGACTATGCTGCCGACTCCTCCGAGAACTTGAGTCAGGGTGTTCATTTTTCAGGAGGAAACATCTCTGCAGTAGTTGTACCATTGCACTGCTGACACCTCTGAATTTTCTGTTTCATAAGCTGTAGCTGTGACTGCTCATCAATGGCTTCTGTCTATTTTTGTATATGCATAACTACTCCACATTGGCAAATTTTCGACAAAGCTATCAGTCCGTTATCCAAAAAGTAATCGAAAACATCCATGATTACTTCCGAAAATGATACAGTCAGCCGATTCCTTCCTCAAGGTCACTTTTTGTTCGAAGGTCGTTTCGGTTTGGGCCGCTATTCTTTAGAGTCACCGGGTGATGCGGCGGTATACCACATATCCTTAAACTTCGCTCAAGTTATATCAATCCGATTTGGTTGCTGCTTGTCACTCAAAAACTGAGATCATGTTGTATTATATAAAACTGATCAAAAGAGATGACTAGTTGTGGACGAATCTGGTAATTTTTGGCAGCCTCTACACGATTTTCACTAGTGATCACTTCAATATTAAACGACATCCCTAATCACTAATGATAGACAGCCTACGACAGTGAAGGTCCTGTAACGATGACTGACTTAAAATCATCTGACTGTGCGATCTATTCTTCTAAAATACCAGCTACTCTTTTAAATGGCCCAATTTTTCAACAGATGATCCACTGCAACTTAAAAAAACCCTCTAGTCAGCTGTTTTTCAGCAGTACTTATCTAGTCTAAACATTCCGCTTCAAAATCCAATATCCAATCCAATATAATTTTCACAAGCTAGTGCAAATCATGCCGTCTAATCCGACCGAATCCTCTACACGCTGACAGAGTAAAGATGTGGAGAGCAGCAAAGTGCTCAGAAGACTCAGATAGGCTGCAGGCAAACCTAAAACTTCTAGAAGACCAGCTGATGACCCAATTTCCAATATTGTTCTTACGAGCTAGTATAAACCAATTTGATTTCTTTGTGCTTGCCTCTTGATTGTGAGGTATAAGTTCCTGATCTTCAGTAAACTTCAGCTTAGCTCGTTCCGCCACTAGACTGTCGTAGCTTGGTTGACTCCAAAAGGAGTAGTGCTAGGATTAATTACATGTGGTTTGTAGTATGAGGTGTGTTAAGAATGTTACTACTGTGAATGGAGTTGATCCTTTCATCAGTTAGTCCTCCGGTATCGTCGTCAAAAGAAAAGAGATAATAATAATAGATATAATTAGTGGAGTTATTCAGACTAGCAGACAGAAAATGAAATAAGGAAACGTAACAACAGTCAGCTGATTAAATTTGAAGAATAATATGAATTATATATATATATATGTCGGTAATAATGATAATAATAATAAGTGTAGTTACGGTTGTCGGGAGAGTAGGATGGGAGAGAATGTAAAGAAGTAAAACGACGAGTTTAATTGTCTACCCCTGAATGGTGTATGCGACTTTAAGGGGATGGGCCGTTTGGATACAGTCCTTGTGCCGCTGCATGGTTGTCCAGCCTTCACTTAAAGGCGTCCACAGACGGTGCCATAGCTGCATCTACCGATAAGGAATTCCAGGGATGGCAGACCCGCAGTGAAAAGAAGTGGGAGCGCACCTGGGTGAGCTATCCTACCGGGATGACAACGATGTGGTCTATGCCTATTCAATGGCAGAACACCTTTGTTTGGGTGATTCTGGTCATTTGTTATTTTGTAGGCAGTAATCAAATCCCCCCTAAGCCGACGATAACTAAGCGTGAATAGACCTAATATCTTCAAACTTTCATCATACGGTTTATTTCGGAGACCAACCACTCCTTCAGTTGCCCGTCTTCGAACTCTTTCCAAGAGGTTGACGTCTTTTCTAAGCAGTGGCGGTGCAATAATATTATGCACTTCAAGTAGTGGTCTGAAATAAGTTTTGTACACCCTTAGAAAGAGCTCAGGAGTGAGTGCACCTGACTGTCAATGTGTAAAGTGTATGACTGCATAGGTCCTCGCTACATCCCCCGTGTAATTTACGCTTGTGTCCATTTTTTCCGTTAGAACTAGACCCAAGTCGTACTCCGACGTTGTGCAGGACAAGCCTTCATTGCACAGGGTGTAACTTGCATTCTGCAGTCTACAGGTGCGTAACTTCACTACTTTGCACTTTTTAAAGTTGAAAGTCATGCCACTGTCCACCGCCTAGTCTTCCAAAAGCTTTAGACCTGCCTGCAGCCTATCCGAGTCCTCCGGACACTTTATCTCCCTCCACATCTACATCATCAACGTGTAGAAGAGTCGGGCAGCTTAGACAGAGTGGTAGATCATTGATAAAAATCAAAAACATCAGTGACCCTCGGACAGAACCCTGCAACACACCTGATGACGATCTGTGTCAAGATGATCGGGCTCGGTTGACCTTAATGCGAAATTACCTTTCAGCTAGGCAGTCCTTTAAACATGACAGAAGTGGCTTACCTATACCTCCCTGGCTTATCTTGTGTAGGAGAAGGTCATGGTGAACTGTGTCAAATGCCTTCTCAAAGTCTAGGAAGACCACATGGACTGGAACATTCATATCCCAGCATGATGTCCAATCGTCCCAAGCTGATAGTAGGTTAGTACCGCAGGATCTGCCTTTTCTGAAACCGTGCTGGGCTTCATGGAGTATATTAGACCTATCGAGGTATTCCCTGATGTGGTCGTCAATAATGCTTTCCATTACTTTTGATACATTCTTGGCGATTTCCCCGAATCCATCGAGTGTTGGAACAAGTCGCATAAGAGCCTACAGAGAGCTTTGGCGCACTGTTTCAGAACAGATGGCCTGATGTCGTCACAACCTGGAGACTTCCCAGGTGTGAGTCGCTGTGGCTTCCTTAGTAATATTGCAGGGTTTATTTGAGGAGTAGCCACTAGGTCTTCCCTCTATGAAATAGTAGTGCCACCATTTTGGTCCGTACTGGCAATACTCACATTTCTGTTTAACTGTTTGGCAAGGGCTTAACCGAATGTTTCCACCATCTCCAGACTGGTGACCGTTCGGGCCTACTATGGTGCATTCCCTCTGGTTGGTTTTCTTTCCAACCTGAGCTGACACAAGTTTTTGGGGTTTGCTAGGAGTTTTTGGCAAGGTTAGCCTGGAATGACCTCTTGTCATTCTCGACTTTCGCGTTGCACCGGTTCCTGAGTTCCAGGTTTGTGTCGTGGTCGGTCTGACCCTTGGATACGCGCCATGTAGACCAAGCCTTCCGCTTTGCTTGCAGAATACGTAGCGTGCCTTTCTTCAACCATGATGACTTTCTTCTGAACTGTGTTGTGACTAAAGTGACAGTATCTGAGATTGTTGTATGAATAATCTTTTTTACCACTTCCCAGTGTTCATCCACAGATAGGTCGTTCCATGCTAAGGGCCAGTCTGCGTTGGACAAAAGCCTTTGCATTTCAGCATAGTCAGCCTTGCTGTAACACAAACATGGTCGTGTAACGTCCCACTGCAAGTGCTCACGGGGAACAAGATCGAAACCTGTGACTGCATGGTCACTACTTCCTAGAGGAGTCACGATCTGGACCTTTTCGACGAGCAGTTGTTCACTAGTTAGGATGTAGTCTACTTTTGATGACTTTCCACTAGGGCCTCAACTAATGTCGTCTCTAATATTCTCAGTTAGCCCTGTATTTCGAATAGTTTGTAGTAGATTTTGGCCAAATTTCCCCTAAGCATACCCCAAGCCAAGGTTTGGTGATGGGGACTTGAAACCTCGAACTATGATGACTTGGTCATAGCCTAAGTCCCGTATCCCTGCGATGGTGCTGAGCAGTAGCTGGTTTTGCTCGTCCCCACAGTTTGGTGATCGGTAGATGCCACCCAGTAAATGCGTGATGTGGGCTACGGTGAAATGACACAATACAGTGTCTGTGAGTTCAGTAAGTGGTGGGTCCGTTGCGCGTGCACATTCAAGTTGCCTGACAAAGCATATGACAACTCCCCTCCTTCCCTATTATCCCTGTCTCTCTTGATCAGAACCATATTACCTATACTGATTTCGTTGTCGGCGATATTGGGTGTCAGCCACGTTTCGGTGAGAATGATTATTTTTAGTTGTAGATGTGATTGGAGATTTCTGAGTTCGCATTATTTTCCTTTCAGTCCTCTCACACTGCCATATAGACAGCTGATAGGGATTCTAACAACCTCAGCGTGTTGTGGGGTAGTTGACGTGAAGCTGTCTGCTGGTGGGGGACTTAATGTCGGGACTAGTTGGCCGATTCTGATGGAACCGGCCGGTGTTAATAATATATATTTCTTCCTGTTTATGCAGGAACATACCAATTGTACAGGCATGGATAAGTTATTATATAAATTACACAAAATTTGATGTATAATGGATTTACAGTTTGGTTGTTCTTTCTGACATCAAAGTCAGTTGGAACAGTCTGCTATAAAGTCTGTTTGTGTAGCACATAAAGAGATATAGAAATATTGTCTTCGCATTAACAAAAAACCCAGACATTAGATGAATGTAATACAAATATCTGGGAAAAATAAAGCTTGAAGTCAATTCTCCTATATAACTTTGTTGTGAACAGCACCCTTGGCTTAAAGATTATTGATGTATTATGTTGAGATCAGTGATATATTTATTCCATTTTTTCAGTAGTCTTATTGTAGTTTTATAACAGGAAAGAAATGTGATCGTGGATACGAAAACTAGATAAGGTCATGTTAAGTTGTTTTACTGCATCAAATGGTGCCGAGGTCGTTTCCAGAATTTTCCATTTGCTCCATTTGTGTCTGCATGGCGGACTGTATTCGTAAGTTGAGTAAAATGTTGAAAAACTGTTTGAAAACCAGTTGCTTCTTCAATTCAGATCATGAATACTCATTTACAGCATGTTCGCCAGCGTCTTCAAATGGTAGAATTGGATCGTTCATGGAATTTGAGTGGTTATGAGATAAATGGTTTGGAATCCATCTTCATTTCAGTTTGGATGCGAGGTTGCTCGACCTCGACCAGAAGATACATAGAAGGTTATGCGCAGCAGCAGAATACCAGAAAGAGAAAGTATATGAACATGAAAAGGACATTGGTGTTATATGCATATATAAATGTTTATGTCGATTGTATATTATACTTTAGTAAACATTTACCTATATTGTAGTTGTGTTTTTACGTATTCATGCGAAGTCTTAGAGTTTATTTAGTGTCATAATGTGTATTTAAAGAGTCCGAGCGTTTTAGTGTTCTAATGGCTGATGCGTTTTAGAAATAAGTGATGGGTTCTGGTTGGGATAGTCATTGGGATAAAACAGTTTATATAGCAAGCGTTTGAAGGTTACAA